TTGCCCTTGATTCATCACTCAGTACTCTCAAAGATGTTTTACGTACTGGATCTGATTGTATTTTAATTGCACGACCAGGTGCCGTAGCCGGCCTTAGTCTGAAAATCACTCATAATCGCTATGTTCTCACCGATCAGACTGTACAGTTTACCCGGTTCTGTGGTGTCTGGTCCTTTGTTGACCGCGTTTGGCTTCATGCACCGGAACCGGCTGAGCTGAATCGAATGAATGATTACACCTCTGATGTTGACCTTGCAATGCATATCTGTCACCAACAACTTTATTGGGAGAAAAGAAATGAGAATGAAAAAGACGGCATTTCCTGGACACGTTCCGAATATACGGAGTATGTCGCTGAACAGATCGAAAAGATTCCTGTTGTGACGAAGTTTTTAGAGAGTTTTCGATCAACTGCACCTGGCCCTGCCAGGCCCCTGCGTACCGCCGTCACTCCCAACGACTCTGAGCGAGGTCCGCCTGAAACAGAGGAAGATAAAAAGGTCAATGCACTCCGAACTGAGATTTCTAAGCGATTTAAGAAACATTTGGAAAAACAGAAAAATAATGAGCTGACTTCCGCCTCGGAGAGCGAAGCTCCAAAGAGGATTATTAAATCCAAGCCTATGCCAAAGAAGCAGAAGGATGCCGCCTCTGCGGCTAGTTCTGATCAACCTGTTGGCACCTATGATACCGTTACCGGAATTGACACTCAGCCGAAATCTCCTTATGGCCATCGTAGGCAAGTTGTTAAGACCAGGGCCCGCCGTGAGATGAACACCCAGGCGAAGGAATTGTTCCGCGATGCGGACGCAGCACAAAAGTTTTTCACAAAATTAAAAAGGATACTGACGCAATTCAGTGGTTTCCTCGCCCTGCGGGTCCACAATGCTGTAAGAATTTTGCCGACTGTAACTGTGCAGAGGCCATGTTCTGGTGCCACCCTTGTGGCTTTGCCTACTGCTTGGAATGCCGCACCAACGGCTCAGCTTGCAACCACAGTATTGTTAATTATTTCTCTGAGTTGACAGCTGAATTTTTGCCAGATAGCATCGGCTCATCCAAGTCACCTTTCGATGTCGGAGAACTGGTTGACGCTGTTCTTGCTGAATCTGCATATTTTGGAGCCACTCGCAGAGAGCATGCTCAAAACCGTCAGGATAAATTTCAGGACCTTATCACGCATCTGCGTGAAGGCCGATCCCTGGGCAATACCTACCTGCAGAGTTTTGCACGGCATGGTATTGAGCAATTCGACTACACTGGTTATATATATTCAATGCCAGATGGAGTTCGAGTTCCCACTCTCCAGGAGCACTTCATTGACGCCCAGGATCAGACGCCTCTTCCGATCTGGAGACCTGAGGTTTATTTTAAGTACCCTGACGATGGTGACCTTGATGACGAGGAGATTTTCCGTTTATTGGAACTCTTCAGATCGTGCCTTCTCGGAAAAAGAGCAGTCCTCGGTGTTGTCAAGCGCACTAAGGAAAACATCCATGATTTCCAGAAGGACACATATCAGCTTGGCATTTTGACTTTGAATCTTGGTCACATCAACCGTATTCCGTATATCGGAGGTTGTTCAAAATTTCCAAAATGGATTAGAACTGACATTAATTATCGTGCCTTGCCACATTTAGTGTTCCGCAATGCGGCCCATATTGTGTGCTTATGCGAAGCTTCCGACGAATACGGAGGAATTGCCGCTCATCGTGAGATTGCCGAAGATTATGGAATGATCGGCATGGTAGTTCACCCGGCAATTCAATCGCAGTCACTTGCAATTTTTCTCCGTGGCTCACATGAGGTAGGCTCGTTTATTGAACTTTTGTCACATCATCAGATTGAGACAGCCAATAATAACCCTTATTGGATCTTGCATGGCGCCATTTTTCGCCTTTGCCATGGCATGAATACGTCAGGAGAATTCGTTGACCCTTCTTCTGGCGCTCGTGTTCCGAAACCGGACATCGAGAAAAATTCCGAGTCTACGGTTTATCAACATGATCGCCCGTTAGCTACAACTCTTGATTTTCAAGAGCACTCGATTTGCGAGATTGACGGAGACGATGATCTTGCCGTTTCCGGCGTGGAAGTCACTGAAGTGAATCTTGGTGCTGATACTCACGACGTCCGACGTCTTATGATGGGTGAATGCCGCGTTGCGGTTTTTCACATCTCTTCATTTGCTTGGAGTGGTGCCTATCAAGAGGCCTGCCAGAAGTGGCTTAGCTTTCTTGCCAGCTGCGTCGAGCACCAATGCGACTTTTTGTCTGGAGATGGCAATCTTTTCGCACAGCGAAGTTTCAAGTCCGATGACCATTCCGATTACCGGACGTGCATCATGATTGATATCCTTGAACGTTTTCTCCAGCAGATCAACCTTCACCGCAGTCCGATCAACCGTATTACGTATAACGTAGTTTCTTCGACCACTGCCGCTGATTACATGCGAAGCATGCAAGGAGAAGATGCTGATTGTGATTCAATGCTTTTAATTTCTCTATGTTACGGTAAGCAGATCGCTGTCACGGAAGCACGTGCCAAAGAAGATTCCGCCTCTGCGGATGGATTTGCAGGATCAGCTTTTTCAGACGAAGTTATGCTGAACGATGTTGAACAGTTAAAACATTTGTTGCCCTATGACCTTGGTTTGGCAGAGAAGGACTGTGCATGGCACTCACCACTTCTTACATTTGCCCAGTTAAAATCATTGAAAAATATGCGCATCCGAACCAAGGAATCTGAAGATAAAAGACGTGAGAAATGGATCCAGAAAACACAAGGATATACCGAAAAACGAGGAGAAAGGAGAGACAGTGTTCCGCCATTGCGGACTGACTCATACCGGAACGTTGGACAGACTCGATCAAGATCAGTCAGCAGGACCAGGAGCTATCGACCAAAGGCAGATATTCCAAAGCCACCTCCTGCGCCTGCAAGAGCACCGGCGACTCCAACAAGAGGTCCAACAGCCGCTTCTAAACCAGTTCAATATAAAGCAGCTCCGGTGTCTCTCAAACAATCATCAGGACCAAAATCCTCATCAAGTGCCCAACCACCTGTTAAGGCACCACCGGTTCCACCGCCTGGACGATCATCCGGTTCAACACGACAGCCAAGCACTCCACCCGATCCGCCAGGTCCACCGAAAACTCCACCGCCGTGGAGAGAGAGATCGCAGCAGGCCGAACAGAGACACACAACTAGAAAAAGACCAATCAATGTGCCTGAGCCTCCTGCGCCTCCATCCCGTATGACGGGCACGCAATGGCTTGATCAAGGAACAGCTTCCAGCTCTTCTGGATACCGTAATTACGGTTACAACTATGATCAGCCATCCTACTACAGAGTGAATCCTCGTACCTCTAATGTAGAATACGTCCCAGGTTACCAAGTACCTAGACAGCGTTGGATTCAGAAACACGACGGATCGTGGCTTGACTTAATTCCGCAAACACCGGATCAGTCAATATTCTTCCATCAGACCGGTGAGCTAAGAAGGAGGAACGAATTGGACTTCTATGGTTATTATTTCACCATGGGCCTGTAAGTCCACAAAATTTGCAATGTTCCGCATTTGCGGTCGCTTGCCAACAGCGGAGAGTAGCTCATTGTACAGTTTTTGCATCTGTCTTCGGACCGTCTCACAGCAGATCACAGGCTGAGCGCTACCTGTGAAAACCGACTTGCATGTTCCGACACGAAGAAAATTTGTGTCTGTTTGTGATTTATTTTGTTTTACGTGTCTACACAATGCTGTCATGCATGTTGACATGTACTCTTAATTCATATCTTTCATGCGCACTCCGCATGGCTCAAGACTAGCAGCAAACCGCAGCATAGTAAAAAGGAGTGTAGTCGCTTCGCTTGCCACAGGTGTTGTACATTAGTATCCAGGGCTCCCTAAAAGGGGATAGCTACCTCACCCCCCCCCCCTCCCCCCCCCCCTTCCCCCCCCGCTTCATTTCATATTGCTTTATATCATCTCATATGTTGCTCCTCCTCCTTCCTGCGGCCCGTCGTGGCTTCCTGGTTCGTCTGCGTCTCAGGCTGTACTCCTGCTCCATGCCCTCTATGTGTCCCTTGGTTGCCTCCTCTGCGTTTGGCCTGCCTTTTCTGATCTGTATGCTCCCCTTGCCTTTTGCTTCCCTTTCTTCTTGTCCTGATGCTTGCGGTCTCCTTTTCTTGTCTCATGTTCCTTGCCTGCTTTCTCTGTTTTGCCTTTTGCCATTCGTTGAAGTTGGCCCCGCGCTTCGCCCACGCATTGTTTTTTGTTTCACGTTTCACGCGCTAGGGAAAGTCCAGGTACATATCTAAAGATATCTGTGTCTATATGTATATATGTGCATATGTAAATAAAACTATAATTATATGGTTTGGTCACGCACTGTCCTGGATGCTATTCGGCTCTTCTGCTATTTTTGCTCTTCAGCTGATATACTTTCATTTCATATACTGCGTATTATCACATCATGTATCACGTCTAAAACCTCGCACCACAGACCTGATCTCAGACATATCCAAATTGAAACCACTTGATGTGTTTCAACAAGTAACAACACACTTTCATCCATTTCCATTGGAAAGGCTTTTGAGCAAACCTACTGTTTATTCTGCCACGGTTTGTGTCTCAACTTGCGCAGCCTCAGCAAAATCAAGATGCATAATGCACAAGCTGGTCACAACACCGTGCACGTCTCAAATGCCAATCGAAGAGAATATTCCAAGCGAAATGTTCATGTGTTTTCGCTGATGCAGTACGGCGCCACGCTGCCCCTCTTTTTGCTCAGCACATGGCCACTTCCAGCCTTTCCCTGCAGTTCCGTGAAGCGTGGAGGGTGTTTCAGCACTATTTGCAGAAAACACGCTTCTCATTAGCCACCGGCCCCCCGAGGCGTACGCCCCAGGGATGGGGGCCAAACCTGCTGGTCCGGTCGAAAGCAAAATGTGATTCCAAGCAAAACCAATTGACTCTTTTTTTTTAGGCTAATGATGGCCTAGCTGCTGCGCTTTCCGAGTGCCACCTGGAACTCAAGGAAGATCTGCTGCAACTGCTTCACGATCTGGAGGAAGCTCCAGAACCGTACCTGTCGGCAAACAGGTTTACGCTACTGCATGTAGGTCGCCCGGAGCCCCGTCAATGACTTCTGTCGCGCATGCGATCTCGTGGCACATACAGGGATCGACGACTGTACGTGCAGGCACGCCGATTTTCTATGTATATATATATATATATATCTATCTATTTGGACATGCAAAGAAGAAATGAACAACTACATACATATGTTCATATCTAACTCTTTGTCTTAGCTATCTGTATGGATATACATATATATATATATCCATCTCCTAAATGTCTCTTATGTATTTATGTCTGCTTGTAACAGGCACATAACATGGAGAGACGGGGTATCCTTGCAGGGGAGCCACTGTCCTCTCCCAGCCTCTCCTCGGATGTGGTGAAGCCTCCATCGCATACAGCTTTCCCAAAACTTCACACACATCGTCCTCCACAGCGCTCGCGCGTTCACCCTGCATCCTCGAGGCGTACGCCCCAAAGATAGATCAAGGCTGCAGCACGACACACCCTCGTACAACCATGCCTCCGGACTATCGACAAATGTGCCAAACCCCTTTTCTAATCTACTAATCGGTAGTCTCCTGCATGCATACTCTGTACCATGTTTCCATGCACTAGCTACCTTTCAAAGCAACATGTGCCTTTCGTGCGATTAGTTAACCCTCATTGCCTTGCCACATCTCCTGCGAGCCCCTGCGGGAAAACAGAACGGCATCACGTTGAAGCATGTGACAGGTGAGCCGGCGGAACACGCCAACGGCGGTTAAATTTAGCGATATTTAACGTAATGTAATGTAATGCAATGCAATGTAATGTAATTTAGCGATATTTAAGGTAATGTAATGTAATTAATGTAATGTAATGGAATGGAATGGAATGGAATGTAATGTAATGGAATGTAATGTAATGTAATGTAAGGTATGTGTGTATATGTGTGTGTATGCATATTGTACAAGCCTCCGCGGGCTTCCCATAAAAAGACTCAAAGAAATCGAACAAAATACCCCTTTGAGGTCTACAGGCTGTACTCCGCCATCTTCACCTTGCTCCAGTTCCAATCTTGTCTCCAATCTCCTGGCAGAAAAGATGACCCATGCACCCCATCCGCCTAAGACCACCCCCAGTTTTCGGGAACCCAAAATACGTAGATCCAGTCCCAGGATTTTCAGGTGTGTATTTGTTGTTTCGGGAAATTGACTACTGGGGATTTGACAAAAAATACAGGAGGCTCGCGAAAGTAGATTCCAAATTGTTGGTGGGTTTGCAAGTGATAAAATATGAAGTTTAAAAAAACATCTTCAGCAAATTTGTGACTATGAATAGTTAAGTTTTGCACTGATTTTGGTAGGGTTCCATTTGAACAAGCTAACTACTCAATGTGTGGTTCTACGGTTTAAGTTGCTTAAAGTCTGGTGACCACTCAGGTTTCCTAAACTACGGGGCTGGCAAATGCCTGGCATCAAACCTACGACTTTCTCCTCGAAACAGGCTACCAGATTGAGAACAGTGAGAAGTCTCGAGCTTGGAGACCGATACCCCTGAAACAGGGCCTGCAAAATATGGAATCATATAATCAAACTGGGACCCCTCACTTTTTGCAGCTTTTGAAGTGGCTATTCCTTTCCAAACAGAGCCTTAATAATTCCACATGCGCACCCCTGTTGGCGTCCTTTGGCCCAATCACCTTTGCCCCACCAGTAGTCGTCACCTGTGCCACGGCCACAGGGGTAATGCAAACAATGGAGTCCTTATTCAAGTCATGAGATTATGGCATCATGGGAAAGTTACCACCAATAACTGGAGGAATCTTAGCAACCAAAATGGGGAATCAAGATTGCCTTTCGGGGTTGTCAGGTGCCCAAATCAGGGATACTTCCCTAAGTACGTAAAAATATCAACATCTGCGGGTCGGGGGTCTGAAATTCTTACCTCTGTTATATGGCCAGCCTTCCCAGCTATTCACAAGAGGTTTTATACCTTCTCTAATCGGGATTGGCATGCGTTGGTGTGATGGGGCAGAAAAGGAGCCCCGCTATCTTCTCTACTTGCCGATAGCGCGTAGTGTTCCGTGTCACACGCGTTTCTTGGGGTTCTTCCCAGCATCAAGCCCGCCCGGCCATGGCCTTTCCAGCCCTTGCCGGGCCAGTCCATGCCTTGGGAAATCAGGCAGGGCCCTGCTGGGAACCCTACGGCCTTCCGCCTCCCGTGACATTTGTTGAGCCAGTGACTCGGTTGATTCAGAATTCACTGATTCAACGTTTGAATGAGTGCTTGGTTGTTCTTGATGTGCCACTCAAAGGGGAAAAGAACATACAATCACATCTATTAAACTATTAATTAATCCCATCATCCCCCTGATTGAACTCCCCGGTATGGGTCCGAAAAATGACCCACTGAAATACAAAGCCGTGCATTTAGGGGTCCCAAATGGAAGGCCATGTACAATTCCCGAAGCTTCGTCCCACCATCCCATGTTTGTTGCAACATATCAGCATCATCGCTGACATATCCCACATAATAAGGCTTGCTGAATTGCCCGCACATAGTGCAAATGACATTTCATTCCGTGTCTTGGCCATTCTCAACACCATGCTCCAGAAATATCGGGACATGTACCAGCACACTGCGATCATTGCATCAGCATGATCGTGACTCCCAAGCGTTGATGGCTAGCTGAAGCAGTGTGTAACCCTAGTTGGTAAACCCCCCGTGACATGTTTTGTCCCATTTCTCGTGGGATTTTACACAATTTAAGATAGAATGATCAAGGTAGTGAAGCCAATCGAGCTAGTCAAGCAAGCATGCAGCAGCTATGTGCAGCTAAAGAAACCCCAGTTTTTTCCTCTCTCTTTGCCCTTGCCTTTCCACGTAGCGAACAGCCCGAGGTGAGCAATAATGCCAAACGTTGCATCGAACCAGGGCAGCAAGCTTGACACATAGCAGGATTGACCCAAAAGTAGATAAAATGGCGTCAAAATTGCTGATTACAAGAAATGCGTATCATTGCGTTTATGCTGCGGAGATCATTTGATGAGTATATGGTATCAGTATACGTCTTCATGTCGGGGCCCCATCTTCTCCATAGATTACGCTACATCCAGAAACTTGATTGAGGCATGTGGTTAGATTGTTCCTCGGCCGAAATTGAAGGTAAATAGCACAATGGAACACCAAGCTATTCATTGCCTTTTCCATCTCTAGAAGTCATGGACGTTTGGAGAAAATGGATTTCTATGTTCGGACCTGGGCACGGATCAGTTCACAATAGCAACCTCATTTTCCCTCATCAGCTGATAGTCCCAAAGGCGGCATGTCTCGCCCATTACATCTATTTCATCCCTTAACTGTCCATTGAAAATCTACTTTTGCCGCATCAGTACATATATAGAAAGATAAAGAATAAATAGGTAAGTATATGTATATATATATGCATACACGTATGCAGCACGGATAGACATTATAGAAGAAAGTTCAGAAGTCAAACTTCCAACAAAATGGACAAATAAAGCAGCAGAGGTGGGAAGAGTCAGAAAAGAGAAAGAATAAGAAAGAAGATCAGAGAAGAGAAGGAGTCAGAAGAAAGAAGATCAAAGTGAGCGAAAAGGTAGAAAGTGGCGAAACACTGTGTTTTTTCCAACGTTTTGTGGCCCAGAGGGTCGCAAAGCAGGCTCGCCAAAGCGGCGGGCGCCGAGCCATCTGGGAAGAGGAGAGCTGAAAAATTGCATGCTGTTGTGGCGCGAAGCACACTTGGAAGCCAAAACGTGCAAGACACACCATGTTCGGACACTTCCGGATGATGAGATGTGGAAAAAAGCGCACTCCGTTGTGGCGCGAAGCACATTTCGAAGTCAAAATGTAAAAAAACATACCATGTTTGGACCACTTTTGCACGTTCAACCGTCGCTTTGTGTGACTCACGCCATGGATTCTGCACCTTGTCAAAAGCGATTCAAACGTGTGGGTTCTGTAGCATTTTCAAAAACGATGGCAAGCGTGGGACATTTTAAGACGATCTGCACAGATGCATGTCGCGTGGCAGGCGCAGTACAAAAGACATCTTCATCAAAGATTTTAGGAGGTTAGGGCGCGGGTGGCATTTTGGAGCATCAGATCTTCAGGTTTGCTCAAATGATTTTGCGTGACAGGTCCAGCACTTCGTATGGCCTGGCCTCCCTTTTTCGTCGCAGGCGCAATACTTTGGACAGGTGGAGTGGGAAAATTGAAAAATGCAGTCGTACGAGGCCGTCAGCTCTGCACTCAACTTTCCATTTTCGAAGGAAGTCTCGCAGAACGTTTTTGATGTGGTCAAGTTCGAAAATGGAGTGGACGAAGTCTCACAGAATTTCGTCGCTTTGGAGCTGTGACCTTCCATTTTTTGAGGGTCTCGCAGAATTGCTGCGTTTTGGACCTGCCAACTATCACTTTTGAAGGAAGCTTCACATAGATAGATAGGTAATGATAGTTAGAGATAAACGATAAATAGATAGCTAGGTATATAGCTAGAGAGAGAGAAGGAGAGAAGGAGAGAAGGAGAGAAGGAGAGAAGGAGAGAAGGAGAGAAGGAGATGCAGAGCTTCCACCACCTTTCGGTCCATCAGTTCGCTCTGCCAGCCAGGCGCCGCAACAACTAAACTCTCCTGTAGGTTTCCTATCTTTGAAGCGTCCACCACCGCCTTGTGCGGTACTACTGGTATAGGTCATTACAACCCATTGAAAATCTATGAATTTACTCATATCCGAGCCGGTTCTGCCCCCAAAGCAGAAGGCAAGCCTAGGCTTGCGTGACTCTCGCCTTTGCCTGCCACCAATGCGCTTCATACCCCTCTTGGTAGGTCGACCCTGGTAAAAAGTGACGCCTACTGCTTGGAATGGCGGCTTCAATCATGTAGCTGTTGATTGTAATCAGCACCCTCCAGCAGGCAAACATGGAAATGAGAAATGCGCATGGTTCCTCGAAAAGGGTCTGCAGGTCATAGGGTTTGGAATTTCGTCAATATTTCCAAAGGAAAACCATGTGTGGCCACAAAGAAACAAAGCCATTTCCCCCCATCAAACATCCCCGAAAACCTTGGTGGAATGTGGTAAAACTGTTCAATTTTGGGGTCCCACAAAGAGGAAACTGATGCCTTTGCCCTTGAGCCAGGCTTTGCCCTTGCTGATGCCGATCTCTTCTTCATCGTCATCATCAGTTTCCTCTTCCTGCCAGATGTGAAGATGTCGGCAATTTTTTGTGTGGTAAACCGGGCCATTCTGGAGGTTACAACAGCTCATGCCGGGAATATGAGCCATAAAATTTTGGAGCCAAGTTTTCTTTCACCCTAGTTTTCTGCCCTGCTGGAATTTCGATTCTATTCCATTTCTGACATTCTGTAGCAGGACATTTCGACTTTCCCAAGAGGTGCTAAGACAGGACTGCATGCCCTTGAAAATCATTGAACATAGCATGAATGCATCGTCAATCTGACATAGACATTCATCGTTGCCATTTCAATCTTTCTCTTGAAAGCCGCAACCCGGGTATCAAAACTGGCAACAAAAATTGCTGTGGATAGATGATTTCCTCTAACGATGAGGACTTCCAATGGCCGGATTCGATCACCATCTCGAAACTTATTGGTTGCTTAAAATCTACCTATATATATATATGTTCACTGCTGAAAACACCAAATTCTGGCTGGTTACATCCCACCTCTTACCAATGATTCTTTGGTCAAACAAAGTTAATAAATCAGAATATATCTTCCAACTTTTGCATCCGAATGAGGATTTGTTGCTTTTTCTCTTCCAATTTTGGACTTGTTCTATTGCTTCTCTAGTGATATCCCAAGTTTGACCTGTCGCCAGTTGCTCCACAAAACCTGGACCATGAGACGATCTCCTGGACCGGCTCCGGTTCTTCATCGTCCGACGGTGGGGCGACCTGCGCTTTGCCTCGGGTCAGGCAGGCAACTGCTCCAAGACAGGTCTCTGTGCATGGGTGCCGTGAAGATAGATATGCACACATATACATCATATACTATGTATGTATATATATATATATAATTATATATATATAGATATATATAATTATATATATATATAATTATAATTATATGTTTATATATACATGTGTGTGTGTGTCTATGTAGGCTGCATACACGTATAGACACTACGGAGGAAGGGAGGGAGAGACGGAGAGGGAGAGAGTTCCAAATGGCCGTCTACTCCTAATAAAATAGATTCTGAGCGTTCTCCCCTCTCTTTACGGCTCTTATCTCCATGTTCCTGGCTCAACATTGTTTGCAAAATGGCTCATCTCGCCTATAATTCGCTGAACCCATTGGTAAACTCTCAAGGTTTGCCTTGAAAAGAGCTATTGAATGTTGCTCTTCAATGAAAGTAAATCTTAAATCATTGAAAGATCGCGCAGGCTCCTTTCATCTTGGTGCCCAAGATGCCTTTGGCTTTGCCGTCAGAGGCAGAGGCCGCAACTGGAGGCATCCTGGGTGCGAGCTCTGACTCTGGTCGCAGATGTTTGATGATGTGTTTTGTCCTTTGGAAGATCCCTTTTTTGGATGTTCGGAGTCCAGGTGTTGAAATTCTGAAGGGGTACAGGTACAGTACTACATTTTTGCATGCTCCAACACCCCAATTCATGGGGACCCATTTGAACCACCAGCGTGTGAGCTGACCCCCCCTCCAGTCGTTGTGGTGAGCTGCGGCGGCTCTTCTTCAATTTCTTCAACCAACTCCTCCACCTCCTCCACCTCCTCCAACTCCTCCACCTCCTCCACCTCCTCCTCCTCCTCATCTTCACAGTCGACCTCAACTTCCACCTGGCAAGACCCTGTGCTGGAAGACTTTATGACATCTTCATAGACTCATCCTCTTGGAAACCTCCATTTAAATCCGGTGAATCGGATGGTTTGCACCCTTCAATAGCCAAAACATCCAATTGCACATTCCTGTTTGTCCTCGTTGCCGCGAGGATATCATGTCACACATCCCTATCACTGGCCTCCACGTCTTCTTCATCTTCAGGGGGCGGCGGTCCTACCACAGCGGTCCAAGGAGGTTGGGTTTCGATAGTTCCTCCAGACACATCAGCTTTTGTTAGTCGTTAGTGGCTCAACCAGCAATGATTTTCACACAGACGCAACCCCCAAAAAAAAAACACACACAATTACACAATCGATGAACCCAATTGGATGCTTCGAAGACCCAGCCTGGACTAGGTTCATCCCAACCTCCGCCTCCTTGGCCTTTGCCCTTGCCTTCAGTGACGGCACCACGTTGTTTTAACTGGCAAAGTTCCACTTTAAGACTTAAACTTCACAGCAAAGCCATTCAGCGCATAGTTGGTGAAATTCAGAGCCATTCAGGGCCTACCATCATTGCTGCGACCTTTGCTACAACCAGTTCGTTGGGAGTTGCGGAAGATGGTGCCAGATGTCTTGGGCAGGCAACCTGTTTGACCTGTTCAAGTTTCTCCAGCTTACAGGTGTTTGACCCAAACCTGTTACCGAGTCCCCGCTGTGACACATCGGTACTGGCTACATGTTGCCTCTAAGCCCATGACATCTCACTATCATCCCCGATCAAATATGTGTATGTGTGTATGTATGTATGTATGTATGTATGTGTGTGTGTGTATGTATGTATGTATGTATGTATGGACGGACGGACGGACGGACAGTTGGATGGATGGATGGATGGATGGATGGATGCATGCATGCATGCATGCATGTATGTATGCTGTATGCATGCATATGTGTGTGTGTGTAGGTGTGTGTCTGTGTATGTATGGATGTATATATAAATGTATATATAAATGTATATATAAATGTATATATAAATGTATATATAAATGTGTATATAAATGTATGGATGTATGGCTGGATGGATGGCTGGATGGATGAATGGATGAATGGATGTATGCATGCATGCATGTATGTATGTATGTCTGTGCGTGTATGTGTGTATGTGTGCGTATGTTGTTTTTTATGTGTGTATGTGTATGTGTATATGTGTGTGTATGTTGTTTTTTATGTGTGTGTGTATGTGTGTATGTATGTATGTATGTATGCATGCATGTGTGTATGTATGTATGTGTGTATGTGTGCGGATGTGTACGTATGTATGTATGTATGTATGTATGTATGTATGTATGTATTGTAATGTAATGTAATGTAATGCAATGCAATGCAATGCAATGTAATGTAATGTAATGTATGTATGTATGTAGGCATGCATGCATGCATGTATGTATGCATGCATGAATGTATGTATGTATGTGTGTATGTGTGTATGTATGCATGCATGTGTGTATGTATGTATGTATGCATGCATGTGTGTATGTATGTATGTGTGTATGTGTGTATGTGTGTATGTATGTATGTATGTACGTACGTACGTACGTACGTACGTACGTATGTATGTATGTATGTATCTATGTATGTATGTATGTATGTATGTATGTGTGTATGTGTGTGTGTATGTATGTATGTATGTCTGTATGTATGTATGTCTGTCTGTCTGCATGTATTTATGTATGTATGTATGTTTGTTTGTTTGTATGCATGCATGCATGTATGTACGTACGTACGCGTGTATGTATGTATGTATGTATGTCTGTGTGTGTATGTGTGTGTATGTGTATGTGTGTATTTGAGTATGTATGCATGCATGTGTGTATGTATGCATGCATGCATATATGTATGTATATTTGCGTGTGTATGTGTGTGTGTGTATGTGTATGTGCGAATGTGTGTACGTATGCATGCATGCATGTATGTGTGTATGTGTATGTGTGTATGTCTGTACGTAGGTATGTATGTATGTATGTATGTATGTATGTATGTATGTATGTATGGATGTGTGTATGTATGTACCGAAATGCTTCCAATCAATGTTCTTGATACTCTGATCTGGGAACAGAAAATCCGTTGAAATCTGGAGTGGTCACCATATGGTCACAAGGTACCTGGTGATTCAAACATGGCTAGCTGGCCAGCCCCACCACTAAATCGGCATCTACATATTGGAAAATCATTCTTGTAAATTGGTAATTTTCCAGCTAGCCATGTTGGATTCCTAGCCAAACTGAAATGGGAAGATCATGGGGATATATGATGGAAATATGTCTAACGAAATTGCAACCATCTCTTGGGATCCTCGGGAAATCGTCTGTAAAATATATCCTCTCTTTCCCTATTCGGCATACCCCATGTTCAGCCACCCCAGATATAATATACGTATCAAGTTGGTCATATATGTCCCACTATACCCCCTTGGATCATATCATATCAATATCATATCATACCATATCAATATCCCCATTTACATCCCCATTTGTAGGTAGATCATATGAGGATAACCAAAAGTCATCCAGAAATGGGTCGCGTCTTACGGTCCAAGGCACCAGCGAAACTGGTCTCCGCTTTTCGGTTGCTGGGCTCCTGGAGCACCAACAAAAGGGCGCCGGGCTGCGACCACCAAATCCCTTGGCATATTCCCAAGAGGATAGAAAAGTATGTAAGTTGCAAATCATCTGTAGATTTATATGCTTTTATTAATGATTGTTGTGTAGACTCTTGCTTGTTTCATCCTTTGGCAATTTGGGGAATTGCTAAATACCTACAAAACCTAGAGATTTGGACAAAAATAAACCGGACAGGCCTCTGGTTGCAGCTGATCGCCCAGATCTTCGGGATCTCCCGAATCTTCGGGACCGCTCCAATCGTCAGGATCAGGCTGCCTAGGCACCCAGCCCTGGGGCCTGGGACTTCTCAGTGGGGGGGGGCATTCATCGTGACAAAAAGTAAGTCACAAAGCGGTTCAAAGAGCAAGAACGGGGTTTCTTCTAGCACTGACCCGGCAGAGGTTGTCAGCATTGATCCATATTCATATGGAACAAATCGCCAGTTCAGATCGATACCTGCTACCTACTGCAATACAACCAAATCAACAGGGCTGGGATTTTCCACTCAACCACATTGGTCGACTACAGAAAGTCAACCAAGATAAAGTAGAAACTCTCGGCGAAAATTGGCAGTGGGTTTATCCCATTGATATTCTCAATGTATCTCCACATTTCGTTGCATATATCATCATATATCCCTACATCATTACATCCCAACCGAACTGTGGAATCTCCAAGAAAATCACCAACCCCCATAGGACCCTGCTGATGTTCCATCACCAGTGTGCTTAAAACATCCCACCCCGCTTGTTTTTCTTGCTCCCTCTGATCCAAGGAACTGTTCCCACAGCTGATCAAACACCGCCAGGGCCGCATCTTCCTCAAGATCCTTCACTTCCTCCTCAGGAGGACCTGGTTATCCGAAAAAACTGGGGTGCTGCCCCCAATCCTTACAGTAGAGTAAGTTAACTGTTGGATTTATGGTGAAGATGGTAGATACAGCTAGAGTTAAATGAGTTTATAAGCCAACTTAAGCAAAAATATGCGGGAAACCCCAGAAAAAAGACTGTAGGGGCAATCCATTGACTTTTGGGATGGAAATGTTGGGGCCTATAGAGGGCATGTTTCACATTATATAGAGGAATAGGATGTCTAATAACGGCTTCAATAGATATTAGATGTGGACTTTAAGTACTTCGTATATCTTCGTGTGCTGTACCTTCTGAGCCAGTATGTGGGATATGAGTTGGCGGATTAGGTACCTTCTCAGCAGTCTTCAGATCCGTAGGTGTTATTTTCTGAAAATCAATTCTTAATGAATGAAATAAGCAGATGGCTCACTCACTCCGGTATTCCGGAGCAGGGGCACTACGTGATAATAACGGGGACATCGACAGAATTGGGAAACCTGCCAACGGACACATAGTGATGTGCGTACAAAAACTGGATGAGTGGCTGGTCTTCCCAGCGCGGGGCCAAAGGAAAATGCCGTGAAAATATGTGGATCTCAGATCAGATCCCTGACATATTCATACCACTCAGAAACACTTCATGACCCGGTGCCCTGGGATTATGCAACCTACATCTGGGTTTTGAACAGCTTCACTGGCTAATTTGACCCCCTGAAAGTTGCGACCCCTAGAATCCAACGGTTTATCATGCTTTATCCTCACTTTCCCCATTTGTTGCCCATTTTAGGGGCTTAATTACCCTATTTGTGCAGACACATTCCAGCTTGTATTGTTCATTATGTATCCCATTATACCCCCATGAAATCCCAAGTTTGCCATTGGTATGTCACTGTCCCATTTCTAGTTCATACCCTCCCCCTGGTTCCACACACCTGCATAGACGTGCCCCAGCAGCGCGAAAGCCCCACCACGCATGCTGAAGCCGTCCTCGCAATTTTGAGACGGCCCAGGAATTGACAAATGGAATTAAAATGTGGTAAACCCAGTGTTGAGAACAATCAGAACAATAAAATAAGAAGGAGAATAGGGATTCAACCGGAAAATGATTTCCCCGAGGATGTAAACAATCAAACTTTTTTCTGAGGGATGGCTCCAGTAGCGGCCTCACAATGAAAGAAAATGTGCCAGGAAATCTTGGGAATCTGCAATTCGCTGGTCACCATCCCAACTTTTTGGTTAATGAAACTGCATCAGCTGCTGCGAAAATGATGATTTACCATTGTACACCATTGTCCTAAACGAATCTCAATGGTTGGTAAGGATGCTTCCTCTGCTAGGTACCTGCACGGACAGCCGGGGTCCTCGGGGTCCTCGCCCCTGGACTCAGACTTGGACCCCCAGGCCTCCTCCATGGCTGTTTTGGCGGATCATTTGAATGGCGTGCCAGAAATGGAGAAATCGATGGAGATATAGCTATAATTTGATAACTGTAAGTGAAATGCCAGGAATGGGATATGAACTGTTACAATTTGATAGCTATAAATGGATATCAACGGAGAAATGGGGGGGTGCCTAACTGTACTGACTGATATAGCTCTTAACCACTCAAAATTGAAAAAGTGAATCGGTGTTAGCCACCAACAAGCTCCTGAAATTCATTGGCTTTTTAAGCCTAACTTGTAGGTACCTAGCACATATAAGCCTATGCAAGGGCTACCTCAGGGGATATACCCCCAAAATATGGTTTTACATGGTACAGTACCTCCATTCTAAGTTCCTGGAAATGTCATTGATGAAAATATCAATCATGTTGGATCATGATCTGATAATCTTAACAAGTTTAAACAAACCACTCCTACTGTTCTAAATTTTCCAAACCTTGGCTCATCCCATCTCGGTCACCAGTGTCGCCTTTGGGGTACCAGCTTGGCTCAAAAACGAGACTGAATCCAAACGAACACAGCATATAAATGCAGGTAATACATGTGTAGATCAAGACATCGGTATGTCCGAAACTTGGGTAACCCTTTACAGAATTGATCTTCGCATCGAGAATGACCAATCACCTGGAGAATGAGGTGCCCCCATTTCAAGAGACCCCCATAGAATATCATGGAATAGTATTAGCATATATGGCATATATTTTTCTGTATATACATAGTGGGGTCGCACTGCGTAGCGGGAGGTGCCACCCTACTCACTGGAGGTTTTCCGCATGTTCAATTGACCGTTTGAGGTGCGGGACTCGGCCTACATGTACATTTTAAGTGGATCCTGTGCTGGACATTAGATAAATCTGAACTTCTGATAGAGATCAGATGATACTCATGTCACTTACGTCCATATCAATCCGAAAATACCATCAAGTGATATGTAGATAGGAAATCCATATTTTTGATGTTTGAAAGTGGGCCCCAAACAGATTTTGGCGATGTCACCTTTCCCTGGGCCGTCCCTTCTCATCCATGGGAATGATAGGATGAGGAGATCATGGAATTGCAAAGGCTGGTTCAGGATGCAATGAGTGATATTGAACCAATCGTAAAAGTACATTAAAGTGATATGCCGTGATTCGTAATATGTAGCAACATGCCTCAAAATATGAATGGCAACTTGACCAGTCATTTGTGGACCCGGACATGCTGGTAGCACCCTTGAAGAAATGAGTTCTTCATGTTTTTGGCACCTCATCTTCAACATCCATGGTGAACAGCTTATTCTAAGCGAAAGCAGCTTGCTCTCCCCATGGCTGGGAGAAGGATGCTTTCAGAAGCCTCTTCCAAGCGATGAGGCTTTGAGAAGCAAGCTGGCTGCGTTGAACGTCGCTGGCTTCTTGGCTGAGTACTGACTGCTGGGTTATGATCCACCATGGCGTGATTTTGGTGTCGACTTGTTTTTTTGGCTAACCATGTTTCAATCATGCTGTATAATCTTGCAGCCGAAGGCAAGGCGAGGATGGGCAAGATCTGCAAACCACCTAGCATTGTTGACCAAACCCCTGACGCCACCTTTCCGCACCCACGGCTTTGCTTACGCCAACAGTTGCTATGACAGGATCCCAATTAAAACCTTTGGTTACAAACCCAGGGTAAAGCAATAGAAAAAGCACCAGGTTTGTAGACCGGTAGGCCGGACCTGAGGTCAGATTCAGATGCTCTCACAACTGGTCACTTCTACTTGAAGCCCCGAAACTGGGGAGGTATTGTGATCTGGCGATCATAGATGCTTCATGACCATTTTGAAAATGTGGAATATGAAATCCATCTACATCACCAAATTCTGCTCCATTCTTGGAAATATACCTTCCGGTTGTACTCGACATAGCTATAGAAAATGACCCATTTTGTTCAATGATAAACATGATGATTTACTTGTTAAAAATGGTGATTTTCCCCGCCCTTCATCCTGAGCATCATAGAAGGCTTGCAGCGCAGGCGCAGCTAAGGCCGGAGGCATGCCCTGCACACTCCCGACCGATGATGGGGGGCTGGTGGTGATCCTAACATGTCGTAACCGTTCCAAGCCATTAAGATTAACATGGTGCTTTAACCGTATCAAGATAGAAATTGAATGGTGATTTAGCGGGCAGCACCCCAAATTGGGGATGTTCACCATCTAACCTAAATTCTAGCTGGTATTGTGGGGGTAGAATCGCAACCAAGGAGATATTTGACGTAGACATCATCCACAATTTTGGAAAATAATAAAGAAGCTGGCTGGTGGTTTCAACATCAAACCCCCAAAACAATGTCATTGTGTGGAGGCCCATCCCAAAAACATGGTTTCCAAAAAGACATGTGAAACTATCAACCAGCAGGTGGTGGTTTTTACCCATAGTGTTGACAGATTTCTGTGTGTGTGTTTGGAAATCACTTTGCGCACCCTGCCCGTCCTTCTTAAATAATTCACCACTATCCTTCCTTGCTTTTGTTGCACCATGAGTCTTAGCAAATCCCCCTCCAATGACAGAAGTTGGCCCCAATTTTCGCCGGGAAAAAAAGATTTTCTAAGGGAACGATGACTGTTAGCAATCTACCTTCCCACAGAAACAAACATGGGTGCCACTAGCAGGGCACAAAACATTCCCCTGCCCACATCAGTTCGCATCGGCAGATTGGGGTCCGCAATACTTGCTTACAAAACATCCACATCATCGTTAACTTTATGCCACATGCCTGCTACACCCTCAGCAACCCATGGTAAGGTATTCCATAGCAATCCTGTAATTACTTTGTATCTGTATCGGCACAAACTGGGGGTAGCGTCGTTTCTAAACTACTTACTTGGTTTCAGCACAATTGCAGAGGTCAGTTGGATCACAAAACTGGTTGGTTGAAGAATTTTGCTGAAACATTGAAGTGTTTTTCAAAACGACACAAAATAGAAAACCAAAAGTTGTTTGCCCCAAAGTAGTTTTGTATTTCTCATTTCCCCATGGCTGGGGGCCAATGACTTTCCATCTGGGCAGCGGCCTGCTGAGGGCTGGATGATCTACCGGGTTTCCTGTCACTGGCCCGACTGGCCCTGGATGTTTCAAGCAGCCCTTCGAACCATGGAAGTACAAACGATATAACGCAACAGAAACTTGAGAAACTCGGATTGATGCGTACTACAACAAAAGTAACAAAAGTTAATGTATGTACTTATTACATGTTTCGACTCACACATGATTATATATTGATTTGATTTGATTTGCCTTATTAATATTTGTAGTTGTTTGTGTGTTGTTTTTCCTTTCAACCGACTCTGTTGAGGTGTAAACAGCTTACAGTGATTCCCACCTTCGGTTGCCAGGAACCTCATCAGCTCTCCCTTCCCCCGTGGCTGTCATTGCAGCGCTCCTGCCATGCAGTTGCTGAAGGGCTTCAAGAGCCTTGCACGAACGCCACAGTTGCTGAATGAGAAGGGCCATCGATGATCATGGGACAGCTGAAGCATATAATCTCGGAATGTGTGGTTAAGATTGAGTAAGATTTAGGTGCAACTGACAACAAATCAATGTGAATGGTCGATTTTCGGTTGAAATCATCGAATTCTGCTAGCTGGAAACGGTTATGGTAAGATCTACGTTTTCCGGGGTTAAAAACTCTATCGACAAATGTTGTCAAACCCGTCAAACAGATTTGATCCAATGACTGGTAAAGACTCAACTTGGTCGTGGCTCAAAATGATTGATCCCCAATTCATTCGAAAGCGAAAGACATCCTAAAAGCATGCATTTGGAATCATTTGGATATGTCATTTCTCAAGATTTGTTTCTTTTCTCCCGGCGCATCTATATAGATTTGCGCACCTCAAAAGCCCGTACCTAGTGGTTTATTATCACTTTCACAAACCCACATGATGGCACCATGGAAAATCCACCTTGTGGCAGGTATTTGATGTTCATATCCCAATTAACTCCTGCAAATCCCCAGCATTGGTTTCTTGAACTTCAGACCTCACTAAAATCCCCTAAATCTCGAATTTGAGTAGTTAGTATGCCCCCCTTAGATCCCTGCATCTAGGTCTCACTTTTGGGCCGCCATGTCACCACCATTAGCCCACCTGCTGCGGTGCGGAAGAAGAGCGGCAAGCACTGTGCCTCGGGAGTGGCGCGCGCCACTCGCGCGCCGTCTGGTGATCCAACCTGACATTTGAAAATATTAACCCAATTACCCTCGGGTAACATAGCTATGGAAAATCACTACGTATTTTTAATGGGAAAATCCACTATTAATGGTCATTTTCAATAGCTACGTTAAATTACCAGAGGGTAATCTGGGTAGTATGATATGCGCATTAACCTAAGTAATCGATTAATATAATTTACCTATTTTAACGTTAGTATTAATCTGGCTACATGATATTCGTTCACTCACCTGAATGCCATTTAATTTGGGGATGATTTCCCGTATTAATCATGATTCCAGTGAGGTCGCAGTGGGGTCGTTGTAATTTGCTCAGATTAATGGTTGATGTTTTTTAAAAAAAAAAACTAATAGCCTCCATCAAACATGGCTGGGAAATCCAGTATGAATGAATGTTTTCATGGGAAAATTAGATAAGTAAACTCTAATTTTTGCTGAAAATAATGCCAGCATCAAGGGTAATAGCATCTAATGTCTTATCTGACCCAGACAATAAACTATTGCCATAATACCCCAGCAGTGCAAAATCTTCTTGTGCAGATTCTAGTGGTGTATCCTTGCACTGTTAGTTCTACCACTGTTCTACCATTGTACTACTGGGACGGTTATCACCATTCTACCACTGCTACCCTCTGATAATCAAACATGGCGATGTTATCTTATGAGGCTATACCATACCACTACTAATGTGGTAAACCCAATAATAAGCCATCCCAAAAGTGACCATAAATGGGGTTGCCCACATTGATAACAATCATCATAATGATGAACGCTAATCATCATGAATAGGTTGATAACGATTAATCATCATTAATAGTAGCATCATTTGCCACTATTATACCATTAACTTGGGTATGTTAACCACCAATTACTATTGATTGGCCATTACTATACAATTAATAGCAATTATCATCAATTAATACGTCATTCATACTAGCATAATAGCTATTCTGCCATTAACTTTGTCATTTAAACCTTTACTAATTGTCAATGTTTTAATCGTGGCAATCGTAACTTATTGATTTGCCAGCATTATAGCATTCACCATGGGTACCCTCTGGTAATTTAACATAGCTATTGAAAATTGCAATTTATAATTGATGTTCCTATTAAAAATGGTGATGTTCCATCGTTTAAGCACAACGACTCTATCAAGTTACACCCAGTCACCCCACTCTCCCGCTCCAAGGCACCACTGCTCCGATCCGTCGAAGGCGCGAGGCTTGGCCGGCACCTTTGGGGGACGAAAGTTGTTTTTTGTTTAGGACTTGGACAGTTGTTTCTTAGAAATATGCAAACAGAAAACTAGAAAAATTGAATGAATATTTGGGAAGATGAGGGGGAAAAAAAAAACGCGAAAACTGATGCTACACCAATCAATCGATTCTCAACTGTGTTACTGTACCAATCCTCTGCATTTATCTATATAATTCTATATCAACACCACTTCGATGGTTCTTGGCACCTCCTCATCAGAGTAATCGACCAAATCCTCTTGGGCCATGACCTGGCATCATGAAATCTGGGAAGATCTCCTGAAGTAAAAACTCGCCCTTTTGCAGGAGTTAAACCAAGAAGGTTTAGTAGTTGCTCCGAGTTTTTTCCCAGTTTTTACCAAGAAGTCTTGCTGAAACTTTAGTTGGTGAAATTCGTTCTTGCTGCTGGGCTGCTGGGAACAGAAGATCACGTGTCACCGGCAGCATCTGCAAGAAAACTAAACAAAAACCCCACCAGGATGACCACTGATCAGCTTTTGCTGCACACCTTTTTGCGGCTTTGAAAAGTGCTGAAATTCACGCGATCCGTTTCAGTACGCTATTCCAGTGCTTTCCAACATTGTAACCGAACATGTCCACGTACCTCAAAGGCCCATCTTGAACTCTTCGAAGGCCACGTGTTAGCACTAAAATGACCGAGCAAAGGCCCTGCGTCTCAGGTGAGAGTATCCAATATCTGGAAGCTCTACATACCGTGCCAATTCATGTCCCAAAATGAAATTTCCCTCGAAAAAAAGTGACATGCCTGTGCGTTCGGTTAGTTCAAATCGTCATTTTACTACTGCGAGAAACATCTCAACACACCGATCTTTCCAGCCACAGTGATCATGCTGCCCAGGTGCTTGGTGTCACAGCGATACTTATCTGCGTGCTCCGAGCCTTGCAGGGAACCAATGCCATGGAAAGTCCATTGGATAGCACAGGCTGTGTGAAAGCCCGCGGCGGTGCTTTTGATGCATAATGTCACCCCGTTTGTTGGCTTCCCAGGCCCATTGCCATCCATGGCAACTTACATCCAGTTGCAGCCACAGAGCAGTAAATCCTGAGGATCTCCTTCTTGTTGCGGAGTTGGCGAATGGCTTCCGCCGTCTGCAGTTTCTTGGCGTCGCTTTTCTCCTGAACAGCACATGATGTTGAGAGAATCGGCTCGCCGAGGCCTCACCTCATCCAAGGAACATGGGGAAAACAAATGGATGAGTGCGGCACTTCCACCTCCTCCGCGGGTGGCTCCTCCTTGCTCTCGTTGTTCTCTTCAAACCAGTCGTGCATCTGTGTGCTTGTGTCTTCCACCTTGGCTTCTGTAGCCACCATCGACTGCCAAGGTGGGCCGGTTCGTTAAGGCCCCCCTGCGGTACTTTTATACATCTCCGTTGTGGTTGGCGGAAAACACATGACACTGCTCAGATTAAAATCACATCCCATGATGGCTGGCTGCCTCTCACCTTCAACCTCCAAGGCACCACCAAGTAATCACCCGGTTGGAGAAGAGCATGGAGGCGCTCCATGACCGCGTCGAAGTGATAGTGAGCATCCTCAGAAACCAACCTGAGCAACGGGTAACCTTCTTGGGTAGGGAGGATGGAACCGGAACGATTTCCCCTCAATGGCTGGAAAGTTTCACTCGCGGAAAGCATGTGAAGCCTGAAAGTGAGCCAAGGTGCCACGGGTGAGGCAGAGCAGCACCAAAGTCATCAGTAAAGAGCTCCTGCGATGCTGCACAGCTGGCCAGATGACCCGACACTTTCCCTACTTGGATGCCGCTCACCCGGGGAGTTTGGGAATGATTGGTGGAGATGATTATGCTGTCCATTTACACATGGGATGACACCAGAAAACAGGGACTTACAATGTCTTACAACACTAGCCCCTTGGCTTGACATAGGATCCCTGTGATGCATCCAGGTGCCCACACCCTTTGGCCTGGAATCGATCGGTGCTGCATTCCTCAGCATGGCCCCATGGCCCCATGGCCCTTGGCCCAAAGTCATCTCAGCTCTTTGGTGGCGCCCTGGCTATGGCCATGGCGGCTATGGGCCAAGGCACATGGAATTGGATCTTCGGATGCTGTCGGGCTCGATCTCCTCGGCAGGGCCATCCCTGCTATGAGGCACCACCGAATGCCAAATTCCCTCATATGGGGCCCCCAAACGAATCGATCCAATACTAAACATTACTAAACCACGCATTCTTCGGGAGTTTTCCGTATCTTGGGGAGGGATTAGAATGGTTGTTTCCATGTGTTTTCCTAAGCATTTTGTATGGCTGCTATTCTATCTTTTAAAGGATCCCCATAAGTATGTTGCTAGTATGCATGGGAGGAAGGGAAGACTTCCCATCACCATGGCTACGAAGCTGGCAAGGTGCTCACGCTTTTGAGAGTGATATCCAAACTTACCTCAGTTGCACCGGCAGCGCTGTGATTCAACCATCTGGTTCTCTAGCGCCGTGAAGTGGGGAAACAACCAGCTTCATCTAGTTTCCATCCATTCCATGCGCATGGAGGGTCGTTTCATTCCAATCATCCCTTCCTTTTTTGTGCCATGCCAACTGGATCTGAATAAAAAGTGGCCCTCAAATGGAAGGTTTTACCGCTAAAAATCATCGAAATCTGTAGGTCCTAACAGGGTAAACCCATTACGACAGCCAAGCTGCCACCTTTTGAAATCTCTCGGCGGCGAGCATCTCCCCAAAGTCAGCAAAGAAAAGCCTCAGCGTGAAGAGCTCAAGCAGGGCACGACAAAAATTTAAAGCATCAACTAGGGTTGGGTGTCCCTAGATTTCGGTACAATGCTTCAAGTCCTACAAATTGACACGCCTCAGTCCCGAAACTGTTCTGGGTTGAGTGCACGAAAAGTTTTGGGATCAGTTACACGCCTTAGGGCCAAGGCACGCGCTACCGCCAGCCCAAGAGCCAATGTCAATGATGGTTCTGGGTTGAAGCTCTTCAATCCTAGGCAGATGGGCTGTATCACTATGCAGTTCCCTAACTGCCCCCATTGACCTTTGCACCTATTTTTGAAGGTTGATGAATGTGATGTTGAATACCCAGTCAAACCCAGGCCCAGCACTATTGGATCATTGAGGCTCATTGAGGTGTTCCCTTTGGTGGAGTTACCCAGCTTCATCGGAAGAACTCCATCGGTCATGCAAAGAAAGATGAGAAAAAAATAGAAAAAAAACATCTTCCGCCACCAAGATGCAAGCTGGCGTACATCTGCCAATCAAAGGCACTTTTGCCTCAGCGCTGGGCAGGAAATTCCCAACCATTTCCGCTCCAAACCACTGGCACTGCGTCCGAGACGCCTAGGGGCACCGTTTTCCAGCTGCTTCGTGCCTTCTTGAGAAGCCGGCCCCGGTTCATGATGGTCATCCTTACTGTACTTTGGACGGGGGCTGCAACTATATTTATACGTATACATACACAATCCTACCTGTGTCAACCTGTACTATCAGCTGGCTGATGGGGATAGCCTAAGAATCTGGTGTTTGATCAGCACAACTCTGAATCTAGAATGTTCTGTGTCTAGGGTACAAGCTGATAGGGATTCCCATCATAGCTAAGAATATCCTATCCTCCATCAAATATATACATATCTTTCAACACAAAGAGACATTTACGTTTAGATGCTCATCCGTTCAAATTTAGGGTCCCATATACGGAAACGTATTCTTCCAAGAGATGCCCATCATCCAACTACTCACCCGGCCTGTCCAATGTAGATAGCTTCCAACGTGTCAATCGACATGTCCGTGTCCTCCTGTCTCAGCGGCCAGACCGCATGGGCTTGGGCAGCTACGGTAGAATTGAAGAATACAAGTTGGCATTGAAATTGTTGACTGATAACAATTGTGTACCAAACGCAGTACACATTTACAACATCCAATTTGTAAACTATGCACCTAACGATGCATATCTCCCAGGCGGCTCTGCCAATGCCTCACGGTCCGCCAGTCGAACGAAGCGCTCCTGTCGCATGCAGCATCCAATTGATCAAACGCATCGGACATGTGTTAGCTGTAGCTGCATTGCCTCGAGAAACAAAGCACGACAAATTGTATGTCCCTTGAATTTAATGCGTTTTATTGGAAAAAATGCCCCGGAAATGATCAGGATACAAATGACCACACCAGATCTTGGATATGTTTCGATATGATCTTGAAAATAGATCCAAACCATGGTGCTTCAATGTCTAGGCTCATAAATACTTTAAAGGAACGTTCTGCACCTCCGGCAAGGGTTGGGAACTCATGTGGTAAGCCCAAGGGCGAGCCATACATCTAATTTCTAGCCATCGTGTTATTGACTGGGATTACCACATTTTGCCACACACATGTTCCATCTTGTGCACGCAAAGCTCCGAAGAGCAGCCTGCGAGTCATCCTGAACTGCTGCTTCGACTCGGGCCGCAATCTCCTGCACCGAGGAGCTCAGTGGTTGGGGGTGCCCCAAGTCACCAAGTCATGGTCATCCATGACTTGGATGATTTGGGGTATGCCTACTGTAGGAAACCACCATTTAAACATGTGCATATATCATGTATTTATATTTTGATATATTTATATGTTTATATACTTTTATGTTTATATGTTTATATATTTATATGCTTATACATTTATATGTGTGTATATGCTTATATACTCATATGTTTTAGATATTATATTATATATATATGTGTGTGTGTGTTTATACGCTCATATGGTTTAGATATTTAGATGTTTTATATATTTATATGTTTATATATTTGTATAGTTATATGTTTGCATATATATATATATATGTGTGTGTGTGTTTGTATACTGATTTATTTGTTTATTTATTTATATATTTATATATCTATGTATATATATATATGTGTGTGTGTAATATATTTATAATTACTGACCCGACTGATCTTTGTTGTGCCTTCCGGACCCTTGTCCGCGCGCACCGAAAGAGACGCAGTACTGCAGGGCACGGCGGTTTTTATGTCATATTTGCCAGTGTACGCAGGGTTTCGTGACACCATGGGGTGGGGTGGGGTGGGGCAGTGATGACGTTCCTTTGGACTTGATCACGTTGTTGATGCTACGCCACGCATTGGGGTGGGGTGGGGTGGGTGCGAGAGTGATGACGTTCCTTTGGGATCACGTGTTGATGCTACGTTGATGGGGTGGGGTGGGGTGGGATGGGGCAGCGATGACGTTCCTTTGGACTTGATCACGTTGTTGATGCTACGCCACGCATTGGGGTGGGGTGGGGCAGTGATGACGTTCCTTTGGACTTGATCACGTTGGTGATGCTACGCCACGCATTGGGGTGGGGTGGGGTGGGGTGGGGTGGGGGCAGTGATGACGTTCCTTTGGACTTGATCACGTTGTTGGATTCCACAATCAAATCTGCACGCAAAACATTTATATATACATATATAGTTATATCTGTTTGTATCTGTATGTATATATATATAGACATATGGATACGTATGCATATAGATATATTGACGTCGTTACATGCAGAGATGTCAAAATCTTTGCTGAAAATGGAATTGAATTCGCAGCGGTCCGAAACGTGGTTGTGTCTAGTCTTCTGGTCACTTTCTGAGAATCAAAGGATTCGGAAAGCACAACATCCTTCCACGAAACAGAACCTGGGTTTGGATCACAAACCTACTCCACTCGGGGTCAAATTTGTCGAGGTGTAAATGGCAGGGTTAATGTCAACCATGAACAGTATTTTGAATGTACAGTATTTGAATATGAACAGTTGAATATGACGATCCTCGAGCAAACAGCACTATCAAAAATCATGTGACCCCTGATCTGAAAAGAGTTTCTCCGCTTCAGGAGGCTCAATTTGGTCATCAAATCCATCTGTCAAAATTATTGATGGCTAAATTGCTGATAGTTATAGCACCATTTTATTTTGTCTACTGAATCACAATTGTAGATGAAACATCCCTAAGTTTGATGGTTTCCATCGAAATGCATCATGGTCAAATGTTCATCTTTATGTCGAATCTCCACTTTTGATCACTGAGGATTCCTCTGCTGTCCCTTTATACTGGCCGGTTGATCATGCATGATAATCATCACCAACCGAAAAAATTATATAGATTGGTACAAACCCGATAATAATAACCGAGAACATATGATAACTATGATAATCTACAATAATATCATAGTAACCTATCAAAACTATAATCACCTGTAATAATTAACTACAATCATATAACTATAATCATTAATCATCACCCATAACAAGACCTAATCCACCAGAGTTTCGTTGTCTCAACGCTGGCTCCTCGTGTCTTTGCTCCTTTGCTTCCTCTGCTTGCTCCGTGCGCAGTCGCTTGGCCATCCGCGACCACCGTGATCGCATGGGCTTGGGCCAGAAACGGGGGTGGTGAATGTCCCTTTGAACATCACCTTAGCCTTCAGGAGATCACTACCAACTATCTTGGTGCACTGTATAAATGATTATTAATGATGTGCAAATTCAACAGGCCCTTGTAATTTGACATGTACTTTCCGAAGGGTCTGTAATGTTGCAAAAAATCTTTCTGCAACAAACACACATATGGCAAAGTTTCGTCATGCCGTTGCGAAACTCTTAGTAGCTCCTTAGCTCCCAATTGAATGGGGACTATGGATGCCCATAGCTCCTTATCTCCCTCCTAACCACTGGATAGTACAGGCCTCATGCGGCGCCCAGCCGGAAATCCCTGTTATCTTCGAGGATTGCGCTCTTGTATGCCGTTTTGGGCCAAACCTTCTAGTCACCGATTTCAAAATTTCGGTTTGGATTGGTAAACAAGGACATAGACTCCGTTTTGGGGTATCCACCAGTCCAGTGCACCGGTAGGTTTTGATACCTTGGAGATGTCGCGGAAGACACGGCCGCCCCGTCGTAGCACTCTTGGCAGCCTGGGAAATTGGCAAGCACGTGGCAGAAGGACCCCTAGCTCTCAACTAAATGGATCTAAATGGTAGCTTGGATCAACCGATCCAACTATCCAACTGATTTTTTTCAATTTATATACTTGTAAGTGGAGGTTCCCAAAACTGTAACGCAGTCCAATGTAAGTCTCCCTCAGTGTGATGTTCAGACTGATCCAGCGACGGTCTACTGCAAGATATTGGATGACATCAGAAGGCGAACTGAACTCCTGAAAAAAAAAAACGCGGAATTAAGTTGTTTTCTTTTTTGTCGTCCAGGCTCCGTTCCTTGGTTTTGCAGCTAAAATATCTCATTTGCTGCGTTTTGTAGCTAAAATCTCTCATTCGCACTGTTCATCATTTTTTCACTGGTTTAATGATTTTTTCCATGGTGTTCATCGAGTTTTCCATGGTGTTCATTGTTTTTTTCCATGATTTTCATTGACTTTTCCATGGTATTCTTCAATTTTTCCATAGTATTCTTCAATTTTTCCATTGTTTTCCTCAATTGCTCTATGGTCTGGTTTGGTTGTTCCATGCTTTCCTTCCATTTTTCAATGTTTTTGTTCAGTTGTTCTATGTTTTGCTTCTAGGTTTCTTTCGGGCTGGTTTAGGGTCTGTTTAAGGTTTGTTTAGGGTTGGATTAGTGGTTATTTAGGGATATAACATGTACGCACAAATAACTAAAATTCTGTGGGCGCATATGCATGCACAAGTTAATTTTGGGATGACAGCTGCGTATCTAAACAACCATATATGTAAATATACACAATATAAATATGTACATATATATATATACATATATGTATGTATATATATATGTATATATATATATATATGTATGTATGTATACCTGTATATACGTAGTCTAATCAAACTAGTGTATTGAAAAGTGTGCAAATTTGAATTTAAATAAAAAAACGGGAGGAGGGGGGATTGGGGGAGGGCGCTGCGCCTCCCCCCCAAAGCAGATTGAAACACCTATTTTTATATGCAAGGTGCTGGGTTGAATGTGATACTCAAGGTGTATATAATACACGACATGCATCCTGGAAACATGTGGAATGTAGGTTAAGGCACAACTATGCACAATAGTTTCATTGGATGTTATCATCGTGTTGGTTAAGATCTCTTTATATGGTGTACTGTATATTCTGGTTTGGTTCAGGGCTGGCTTGGGGTTTGAATATCATATCGATGATAATGCAAACCTTTTAGATAGATTGTATAGGTATAGATATATAGATATCAATTTGGACATAGATATATAGATATCAATTTGGACATAGATATAGATATAGATAGACACATACATAGACGTAGATGTAGATATAGATATAGATATAGAATGATATAGATATAGATAGATGCAGACGCAGATGCAGATATATGTATATATATATATAGACAGATATAGATAGATATAGATAGACATAGGTAGATATAGATAGATATAGATAGATATTGAGCGTGGACAGTGTACGGGCAAAGGCTCCGCGTTCAACCCTGGCATTTTGCCTCCCAAGACTTTGCAGTGTCCAGTCTGTCAAGAGGAAAGACATTCGACGGACGATTTGTTGCAGCATATTGCTGCTCACGACACTCCTGCAGCCTTTTTTGCTCGGCAAAATCAATAAGGAGTCAACTGCCATGTCTGCTCCGTCGTGGCTACTTGGTGTTGGCGACGGGGATGGCCCACCGTTTCGCAGACAACGTGTTGATCCCCCAGCCCATGAAATCCATGCCGAGAACCAGAGGAAGCTGACAGTCCTCTTAGCCAAGTCAGTTCTCAAAAATTGCTCTGACATCCGTGAACTGCAGAGCGCAATCCTCACCACCCTGTTGATCCCAAAAGACACCACGGTGGTTGGTGCTATGTCAGCTGCAACACAGGCTCACAACACTAAAGCCACCGAGTTCCGGAAGGATGGAAAAAATCGTGAATGTGATAGCCTTGGTGAACCACATGTTCATGCATGGGCTGCGTTAGTGCATTCCCTCATCGAGTCGAACCATATCACTGCTGAGGAGAAGGAGCTATTGTCCATCCATCTCCAGAATGCAGAGTCGGTGAAAACTCTTGAGCCCAGCATTCTGGTCGCCAAGTGCCGCAAGTGCTTTGATGCCAAGAAAATGCGTCTTACCTTGTGTGTTCACCATTCCGTTGAAAATATCCTCACCGTTGTGACAAAAGCTTTGCAAGGACAAGGTGCAGTTCTGAAAAGAGGAGTTGCTCCACGATCAGGGAATGAAAGAGAAATTCAATCCATGCTAGATGCCTTGAGTGAAATGTGAGATGGCACATGTGAAAAGGCTTCTTCTGAGAGAGTAAACGCTTGGCTTGCACAGCTGCTGCCAGCTTTCGCTTGGAAGTCAGCAGGCCTCCGTACGCAGAGTCACGGCTGTGTAAGTTCCCTGCGGACTGGTCGTGTGCTTTGGCGTTTTTGGGGCCGTGCTCGTGTAAGCCCTTTTGTGGCGCGAGACTGCAGCAACAGCTGTAGTGATCAGCTTCGGGGCAAGAGCCCCCCGCTCGCCCATGAAGATTGGACGCTTCAGAGTGGCGTGAATGAATGAAATGAAAATGAAGATATCAATTTGGACATAGATATATAGATATCAATTTGGACATAGATATAGATATAGATAGACACATACATAGACGTAGATGTAGATATAGATATAGATATAGAATGATATAGATATAGATAGATGCAGACGCAGATGCAGATATATGTATATATATATATATAGACAGATATAGATAGATATAGATAGACATAGGTAGATATAGATAGATATAGATAGATATAGATAGATATAGATAGATATAGATAGATATAGATAGATATAGATAGATATAGATAGATATAGATAGATATAGATAGATATAGATCGATGGATGGATGGATGGATGGATAGATAGATGATACTCAAGGTGAATCTGATGCACAACATGCACCTGGCGAACATGCTTCACTGATAGATTGATCGATAGATGATAGATGAGCCATAGGAGCAAGGAGCTCTAGGAGCCAGGAGCCATAGAAGCCACAGAAGCCGCAGAAGCCACAGAAGCCACCAGGAGCCAGGACAAAAAAATGCCAAAAAAAATGCCCCTCCAGGATACATCCCAAACCAAAAACTGTTCCTGAAAACCTCCCGTCCCCATATTTTGGCCAAAGGATTCCAAGCCCCAGGTGACATCCGGGCCACTTGAAGCTCCTGCCTCCGGGATTTTCCTCTGGAGAGGTTGGCCCTGCTCCATGCCACCAGCGATGCAGCCAGTGCCACAGCTGGACGCCCCAGAAGCCTTGGTGGAGACCAACAATGCCATCATGGTGATGTCGCTGATACCCAAAAACGATTGGGATTTGATTTGAATTGCAGCTATTTTGGACTCCTATGTGTTGAGAGAATGATAGAAGACACACAAAGGCGGACAGGCGAAAGACCCGACACGACCACTAAAGCAGACCGATGATTTGAGACAAATCAAGTGGGAGACAAATAAATTAGGAGACACATGGCGACAAACACATCATGAGAGACGTTTAAAAAAGGGGGCCCATGGAAATTCTTCAGCTCCGGATTGGGGGTCGATTCGGGCCCACATTTTTCCAGAAAGCGAACAAGTTCCGATTGACCATCTTGAGATGCCCAGTTCAGAGCAGTTGATGCTTGCCCCGACGTTTGATGTCAGCACCTCCTTCATGTCCAGATTGCCTCCGTCTTCTGTAAAGGACACATTGATGCCGCAGAATTTCTGGGCTCCAATTTCCACCAACTGACTGGCCTTGGCCCCTGATTTTCGGCCAGATTTTTGTCAGCACCTACTTCCATCAAATGATGGACACCATCAAGATTGCCATTCTCAGCTGCAATGTACAATTGCGCTGCACCCTGATTGTCCGCTTGATCTTTGTTAGCACCAACTTCCACCAAATGACGGACAACATCAAGATGGCCATTCTCAGCTGCAAGGCACAATGGTGTTGCACCTGACTGTCGGCTTAATCTCTGTCAGCACCAACTAAAAAAAGAAGGTCCTGAACACGCGCAAAGTTGTGCAAGTAGTTATAGACTGCCATTTGCCAAAAAAAATATCACACCCATGTTAGCTATCAAGTGTACTTTCTAAACTGAATTATCTATATTTGAAAATGGAGATGGATTGAAAGCCCATGATACCACAATTACAAGGATGACTATCCATGAGCAACCAGCTATTTTGGTGTGAACAAAAGGGTACCAGGGCTTTGACCCATACCCAAGTCACGATCCAGTTGTCTGCTGGCCCTTTCCGAAGATCTTTGATGAAGCTACGCAGCTTGCTGGCACCAACCAAAACCCACCCAACCACCCATAGTAAGGATGGATCCTTATCGCTCTCTCTCCCTCTCCTTTAGATTCTTTGAAGGATCACCCATGGAAAATGTTCTTGCAGCTGCTCTAGGAGGATACATCGCAAGACTCAGCACACCCCATTCTGTACTTGGGTGGTTCCCTGACTGGCTTGGAACATGAAACATGACTGAGATTTGTGGGAATTCCGAGCCTGGTTATGATTGTCATCCTATACTCAGTCTTGATTCATTTGCTGGTTGACCCCATCATTGTGTCATAGTTCCCAGAACCTGATCGCCAAAGAGCAGGCGATGAGGTAGACATCCTCTGTTGGAGGAGCGTTGAAACCATGCCCCCTGTGGAGGAACCTGCACCCAAGAGCTGATCCAGTCCCAAACGCCCAAGGGTAGAAATGGGGATGAGGCAGACCTATCCACCTGCTTTGAGCCTAAGCTGCTTGCTTGTGATCACTCGTTTGGCGCCTGGCGGGGTGGAGCCACCTCCATCAGCGGGAGTTCGACGGACCCATGGTGGCTGAGGCTATGGCATGAGATCAGCCACGTATGAATCCCTCACCCCTCAATGTAAGATGTCCGCCAATGCATCCTCAAAATGAATATATAGATTTTATAGATCTGCTGCCAAGCCAGGGTTGTTTATTCTGGGCAATTTAATCTTGAATGGCGCAAATGACTGGGTATCAACCACGGAATGTTTCCGAACGACTGCAAATGCCAGAGGATATATGGAAAGACCGGCTGGGCTTTGGCGGGTTGCTTCTTGCAACATGCTGGGATCTATTGAAAGAATTGTTTCTAGTAGTTGCTGCCCTTTCCTTGAGCAAATCCAAGGGCACAGAGTATAAAACCAATCAAAGGGCACCGACATGTCCAGGCACTACTCACATCACTGTGTTTGAGAAAAAGATTTTCTCCACCTTCCCAAAGCATCATGTTTATTTTTGAAACAGGACAATATGGTTGAAGCAGTTGCCTAACTCTGACCAAACCGCTCTGCTCACATCATTTTTGCACACGCTGCTTGAGCCATGCGTAGCTCACCCCACTGTCCACAATTTCTCTGCATGGAGACCTGGGCCCCAAAAACAGTTGCCTCTTCACAATCCCAAGTAAAGTCATTCACCGCTGTGCTCACAGGTGGATCTGGGTTCAAAAAACCATTCAGTCTTGAGGGTCTGGACGATCTATTCCCAGGCAACAAAACCAACCACAGCCAAGTTGCCACATGGCAGTTGAGATCATTCCTCACCTTTTACCCATCGCACATCCAACCTTGGCAGGGCTGGAAGTCAAATCGGTGGCTGCTGTAGCGGCCTAAACCTGCCCTAAACAGTTCCACAGCCATGTCTCCCAGTCATACTATAAGCGCGACTTCGGAAATTTGTGGATGTAAAGGCCTTCGTTGTTTGTCGGACTAGGAGGCGATATGTTTTTCGGGGTTGCAAACCAACGTTCAAAAGCACCTCATCTTGCGATCACGTGGCTCACAACCTGATTCGATGACCATGCCTCAAAGCAAATGGACAAGCGGGAATGAAAGACAACCGGGAAGCGATCTGCTGGCAATAGGGCTAGACATGCACAAAAGTTATCAACTATCAATGCACAAATTGGATGTCCTAGACCGACCTCTGCCGCGATTCACCACACAAACAAAACAACAAAAAACAGGAGGGTGCATGGACACTCCATTTCATACATAATTTGATGGATATTTCCTGAATGTTTCCCAGTCACCAACTTTCAATGATCTTTGCATCGAGGCCAAGGTGCTCGCCACAGGACATCGTCGTTTCACCGCTTCAGCAATCGCCGCAATCTGATCGGCGGTCGCATCGCTGTACACCTGGATGGCAGGTCTGCCCGGAAAGTCCCGGCCAGAAAGGGAGATGAGTCCTGGCTTTTGGTCATGTAGTGCCTTGCAAGTGGGCATACGGACAAAACGTTAACAACATCTATGTGGCAACCTGTCACTTTCCACCTATCAAGATAGCATAGCTGTCGACATGTCTGTCTCTGTGGCATTCAATTTTCTACAATAACTATAGAATTTACAAAATCGTTTGATTTTATGAATGGGCACACCTAGTCTAACAACAACTCTCTGTCGTAGCCAGGGGTTGTCCCTGCAGGGCTCGCCAAGCTGCATGTGCTGTGCCCCAAATCCTGGCGGATCTACCCAGCTTCCACCAACGACTTTCAACGACAAGACAAAGGGAACAACCACCTTGGGGTTCAACTATGGCCGTATGGATCATTTTGGGGTGATACTATCTGTGTCGGGAAGTTTCATTATTTTAGGGACTGCATGTCCAATCAACTACATACCTTACTGCATACCTTTCTATTCACCCTGGCTTGTTACCTAACACATCCGGTAACTAGGCTTCTAACTAGGTACTGGTGATGACTGCACCATGCTTGCAAGTGAGACTTGGTTTCGGGATAATAAGGTGCCCATGCCGCTTTTCAGGTGAGAATCTCATCCGTTTGGGAGACTCGAATTGGGCAACTGTTCACACCTAATCGTTACATGTCCTATGAGTTGGATTGCATGCCCATTCAAACCAGATATAGATCAATGGGCAGTAAAGACGTAGAAGAAAAGGAAGGGAAAGGAACATTATAGAAGAAAATGACGCGAAAAAGGAAGGGGAGAAGAAAAATGGGCACTCTATCTTCTACTGCAGATAACAGACATGTGGCTACATAAGGTAGGAAAAAATACAGGTAGAATGCCAACGGAAATTACAGCATATATAAATCAAAGAATAAAGACATAGAAGAACAGAAAGGGAAAAGAACATTATAGAAACAAAAGGACAAGGAAACGGAAGCGGATAAGATCGGATAAGAGGAAAGGGCAGTCCATGTTCCCTGCAGGTCACAAGCACCTAGCAAGGAAAACAACAGCTAGAAAGCCCACGGAACCTACAGCAGATATAGATCAATGGGAAAAAAGAAAAGCAAACGAACAAAACTTGTGGAGTGCAGAATGATAAACAGCCTCCCCCAATGGCATGGCAGGCTGTCTGACGGTTCGACTGATAATTAATTAATGTTAATACGTTTGTATAAAACTCGTGTTCCCACTTGTCAATAGAGTACAAACCATGAACGGCAGGCATTCTAACTATGCTTTCCGCGCATATGCCAGCAAAAACTGTGCGACATGGGCTATTGGTGCGTTTTTCAACCACTGCATTCCAACTCCATTTCGCCTGTAAAATACCAGTCAAAACATACATTTTCTCACCAATTTTTCTGCCGCATTCTAACTGTGTGGCTGCATATTTACAGGCGATCCTTCAGTTAGAATGCAACTGCCGTGCGGGGGGGGCAAACAAGCCACCATCACGCGAAAACAAAACCGCATTCTAACTTTGTTTTTAACGGTATATACCCATCCTATGGATTGCCAGTATGATTTGTATGGGAACATGGCACAAAAAAAGTATTCCTGCATGATTTCAAAACAGCAACAGAATTTCAGTAGAGTAGCCCATTTACCTACCACAAAGGATTACCCTGAAAATTGTTCTTTCAAGGCCCATTTGCGATTTGCATCGGCTGAGTCAACATGTTGACTTGTTGCCGGTTAAATCATAACACCGAGTTTACCCCCGGATGCCCTGTCGTTTTTTGCATCTTTTTCGATCTTTTCCTCACCACCTGACCTGACCCCCAAAAACTCTCCTCTCGCCTCTGCAACCTGCTCAGCTCAGGTGGCGCCACATGAATCGGAGGTGCCAGGCTCCCCCATTCGTCCCGTTCCGCGAGCACGTGGAACCTCAGGGGCTGCGCCGATCTTTACGTTTCTTCCTAAGTGCTGTTCCTAAGTCTTAGAATATTTTGACAGAATCACTTCTCATACTTCTACCCTTCCAGCATTGAGTCCGAAGTTGTACCCCCACAATGTCTAAAAAGAAATATTTAACTATATGATTATGATGTTGATGGGAAACTCTGAATAGGGGCTTGGTTCTATATCCCATCTAAGAAGAACTCTGATATCTCCCCAGCTTCCTCCTCAGAACTGGACACTGAACAAACATATCGAACATATCATTTATATTCCAATAGGAAGTGATCATCTTTGATGCCCCGCTTTTCCAGGCAGTGTTTCCAGCTTGGCCCCGGCCCCCCGAGATTCCAAGGAACTCAATGCGTCGAATTGGTGGCAGCCGCATTTTGGCAGCCACAAAAGTCGCTGTTGCTTGCTCACATCCAACTAGAGCACCCAACAACAACTGGACCTAGTCAGTGCCAACATGCGCCAACACCACGTCAAGTGAAATCCCCTAACAACTCAGGGCTGAAATTGATCCACCAAGAGCAACCAGCCAAAACAGAAAACCCCATGGCTGAGGTTTCGACTGGCTGCGGTGCTGTCCCGGAACCTGAATGACAGTTGCAGGTGCTTGATTCACGCACCACCGCATCTTATTGGGCTATAACCCCATATGTGTTGGGTCAGGGGCTGCGCTTACTAACCGATATGGTTAGATGTTCAATGATTTCAAAAGGGCGTCCATGTTGCAGGCACTACATGGCTTTTTGGGCGTGCCTCACCCCGCAGTTCGAACTAACCAACCGAGACTTGTTGATTTAGGGTTGGCATTTCAAATCGATTGCGAAAGAATCCAGCTGAAGAATATGTGGGTGCAAGGGGACCTTCCCTCAAACCAAAGACCGAAAATATCAAATGCAGGCTTGAACTACCAGCCAAAGCGTGTCCATTGATGGAACATTTTTTTTGGATCACTGGCAATTTTCCCCTTCATCCCTCTTGTTTTAATACTATAAGTTAAGCCTCATACAGAGGTCCCCAAAGTTCAAGAAAACGGAAAAAATATTCCCCTTTGTTTTGGGCAACACGCTCAATCCCACCGCCTCCTGCCGACTTCGGTGTGTCCGACTCGATCCGATACCCATCGTCTGTGACGGTGGCAGTTTTGCAACCGCTACCTCCGGCTGTGAGTTCGTAACCTTGGTGTTGTGACCAACAATTCATGGCAAACTTTGGTTCCCTGCCCAAAAAAAATATTCAAACGGTATCAAGTAGCCTGGAAATATAGCAGAAAATTCATAAAGTAAAAGTAGCAGGCTAAATTTTACCCACGAGATGTGTTGACGCAGTGAAAGTGTAACCAATCGCTAAATGATGGTTTGGTTTGGTTTGGTCTGGCAGTTTCGGCTAGCGTGTAGCGGCTAAACCCCCATGCTCGGAATTCATGTCAACGCCGGATTCTCAGTTTTTTTGATTATATAATTGGTGGTTAGTCCAACAGAAATATTGTGAAAGCTGTTGTTGACCATGGGTGATCTCATGTGACCTGCCGGCCGTCTTTTGCCTGGGCTCGAACTGCCCATCGAATTTCCCCAGATCTTCAGCCATGCTACGCATTGTCTAGCAAAAAGGCCGATCACTTCGTTGCCCGCTTCGCCGTGAGTTGGGTTCGTTGTGCAAAGCCGATTGTGATTCTACAGTGGTACTCGGAGCTTGCAAGATTTCCAGAGGCTGCTGCGCACTCCGTTTCTTGATCGTTTCACTTGCAAGATCACCAAGGTTGTTGATTTCTTACTTTGAAGAAGTTTTGATTCGATGGCTGAAAACAGTGATGACAGATCAGGTGGTGCATGGAGTCGGGTACCGACTTGGGATGGAAGTCCGCTTATATGGCGGCAATTCAAGCGTGAAATGACATGGTGGGTTAGTAGTCTAGATCTTGAATCTACGACAAAGTACAACCTGGCTGCTAGGTGGTTGTTGCGTCAGAGCGGAATTGTCCGCCAACGAGGGGAAGAGTTTGATCCAGCCGAGCTACAGCATCGCCCTCGACAGACAGCTGTGGACCCTCAGACTGGTGAGACGCATGAGATAGCACCAGTCGATTATCTGCATGGATTGAATAAGCTGCTTTCTGCCTTGGAAGGTATCAATGGACAATCTGTATTGGATGAACGAGGTGAACTGAGGACGCATTTCTATAACCATCTGCAAAGGAAAGCTGGTGAACATATGAGTGAGTTTGCAACCCGTTTTCGCACTGCCGTTGCTGATCTCAAAGCTGAAGGGGTGACACTTCCTTCAAGCGAGCTTGGATGGTTTCTGAAAGAAAAGGGCGGACTTGACCCGCTCCGCAAACAGCTTTTGGAGACTGCACTTCAGGGTCAAGAGGAATACGAGCAGATTGAGCGTGAGTCATTGAGGTTGTTTCGAGACCTGCACCTTTCTGATCCATGGTTTTGACACATGGGTGACCGCAATGACGGCAATAGGCCGAAGCTGACCATTCGTCGAATGTTTGGACAACCTTCGTCTGCAGGAAGCTCTTCTTCCGCATCAGTTTCTTCCTTCAGGACGTTGTCGGATGCCAGCCGACGATCTGGTTCAAGTACTCCACGGGTCTATTTGACTGAAGTGCCAGAGGACCCTGTGGATGAGGAGGCCCCTGAAGAAGAGTAACTTGTTGAGGATGACGAGCATATGGTGCTTGAAACTGCAATTCAGAAAGAGGCACAGGCCTTTGCTGCTGAGTTGGAAGAAGCTGAACAAGATGGTTTGGACCCCAGCACCATTGAGACTTTGGAAGCCAATTTTGAATCAGCTGCTGAAACTCTGGTCACGATGCGTGAAGCTCGCAATCGACTGCAAGAAATCAGAAAGGATCGTGGCTACAAGAAGCCCGTGGATGGTGCTGCAAAGGGTGGACCGATTTCCAAGAAGAATTCGAAGCATCCATGCTTCAATTGTGGTTTGCCGGGGCATTGGGCCGGTGACAAAGAGTGTCAGAAGCCTGGCCAAGGACTTGCTCGCAAAGCTGGAAAAGTTGCAGCTGCTCCCAAGCAAGTGCGTTTTGCAGAAGTTTGTCAATCGGACGCCATTGCCACTGACCCTATTGACACAACCAGCACTGTACACGAAGCTGCCATGGTGAATGTTGCTGTTCGCCTTCCTTTAGACCAAGCCCTGAATGTGAACCTCTATGGCACCACCCATCCAGTGCTTGTTTCTGACGCCAGGGACATTGCTGGCGACAAGATGTTGGTGGGTGCCCTTGACTCAGCCTGTAACAGGACTTGCTCGAGCCCTAAGTGGTTGGAAGCCTATGTGCAGAAGATCCGCCAATCTGCACCAGCATTCATTTCCAATTTGATTCAGGAAGTTGTTGAACATGAGAATTTCAGATTTGGAAATGGTGGCATTGTCCCAAGCACACATCGTTGGCGTCTTCCAGCTTTCGTGGGTGGTCGTGTTTTGCTGCTTTGGGTTTCACAAGTGCCAGTTCCTTCACTAAGTCTTTTACTTGGCCGAGATTTTTTGGAGTCAGTTGGTGGAGTGCTGGACTTCGCAGACAAAACCATCAGTTTCAAGCATCTTGAAGCCAAGACTCAACGACTGGAGCAGATGTCAGCTGGGCATTACATGCTGCCCTTGGTCGCCAACACTTGGCCAAGGCTCCCAGAGGGTCGTTGGAAACGTTGCGGTTTGGATGGCATCATAGAGTTGCAGTTGAATGTCAAAGCTTGGCTTTCCAGATGCATGACAGATAAGTCAAATGAGTTGCAAACCCCCCGAAAGCCTGTCAGTGATCACATGCATGTTGGCCTGAACTTGTTTTTGATGACCGGATGCCTGCCGCATCCTTGGCCCATAGCATGTCGGTGGATCTTCAACCACCCGTGAACTCCCGTCAACATCATCTTCAAGGTGGACGTCATCAAGTTCTCTCCACTGAGTGCGTCAGTGATGAGTGCTGCACCGCTGGGCAAGCACGACTTGAACGAGACCATTCGATACCTGAGCCCTGCGGGGTTCAACCGATTGTTCAAGACCTTGCCATGGCATATCCAGCAAGTGCGGCTTCAAGCCAGCCTGCACCCAAGCCTGTTGCTCAAACCAAAGACGCCGAGTTTGTCAGTGGCCCAGCCCAAGACTCCAGGAAGCGGATCTTTGACGTCAACGCCGTCAACAGCCGCTCCTGCAGAGGCCAATCAACAGTTGCACGATCGAGGAGGATCAACTGCAGTTCGTCGAGAGCCGAGTCACGGCAATGCTAAAGAACCGAGTGGGCCATTTCCTGAGCGACTCCGAGAATCGCATGCAGGCCATGCTCAGCCAAGTGATGCAACAAGTGATGGGCATGAGCAATCCTCCGATGAATGGTGCAGCAACACAAGAGACCACGGATGCAAACATGGTGGCACCGTTTCCTCCAGAGATGCCACGCTGAATGATGATTTTCAGCTTCCTGCGTCGTTGAAGGTGAAGCCGGCAGTTCGCCAGATGATTTCTCAAGCCTGGCAACAACATCGCCGAGACCAATTGGCGATATCAACCAATCGGCAACGTGTCATGGAAATTTTCAATATGACTTGGATGAATGAGATGAGGCAGCATGAGCGTCAAGTGTTTTCCATGGAAGTGAAGCTGTCAGACCCTTTTGTGACCGAAGTTTTCACTGACACTGAGCCGATAGCTGCTGCTGCCAGACGTGTTGGTTTGAATGCTGGAGATAGTTTAACCCTGAAGACTGGCTGGGACTTTATGCAACCCAGTCGTCGTGAAGCAGCGTTGAGCTTGATTGCAGAAACCAAACCTGAAGTCGTAATCCTGGTTTTTCCTTGCGGGCCTTGGTCGCCTCTGCATAGGCTTAATCCACCCGCAGATTTGGATGAACGACGTGCAGCAGCTCGTGAATTGGTTCTTTTTGCAATCAAGGTTGCAGAGTTGCAGCTGTGAAATGGCAGACATTTCTTGATGGAAAACCCTGCTCCGTCTGCAGCCTGGCAATTAGATGAACTGCAGCAATTTCTTTCACGACCAGATGTTTTGTCCGTGGTAGTGGACATCTGTGCCTTCAATCTCAGATCAGCTGGCGGCGAACTGCATCGCAAACGCACACGGCTTTTGACTTCCAGCCAAGCATTGGTCTCCCGCATGATGAACAAAACCTGCAGCGGGGACCACAATCATGATCCTATCATGATCCTGTCATAGGAGGGTCTAAGGTGACAGAAGCTGCTGGACACTATAGCCGTGAATTTTCAGATGCAGTGATTCAAGCATTCATGGATCAGTTTGATTTTGAGACGGCCGCATGTTTTCAAGCCTTGGAAGAACAGCAAGCGTATGAAGCACATGTGACTGATGGTGGCACCCCAGTTCCCGGTGAATCTGCTGTTGATGATGACTCAGATGGTTCATTTGAGCTTATGAATGATGAGGAACAGATGATCATTAGCCCAGCAGTTAAAGCAGCAGCGTTCAGGTTGCATGTGAACACAGCCCACCGCAGTCCTTCACGACTTGCTCGAGCATTGTTGGTATGTGGTGCTCCCAAGGAAGCAGTTCTTGCGGCGCGAAGACTGAAATGTGCTGTTTGCCAAGAGCGTCGGCAACCAAAGGCTCGATTGCCAGCCAGTTTGCCTCCACCTCGTGAAGTGGGCCAGCAAGTTCATGTGGATTTGGTCCTGGTGGAGGACTCCTTGAGGCAAACCCATGTTGTTGCCCATGCCACAGATGCAGTGTCGAAGTTTCAAGCAGCCGCAATCATGAAGGACAAAAGCACTGAATCCTTCATCAACTTTCTGACCACGAGATGGTTGCCTCTGTTGGGTACGCCTTCGACCATTGTGGCTGATCAAGGCAGAGAGTTCATTTCAGAGTCCTTTTGCAGCTGGTGTGACAGCAAGTCGATTTACTTGAAGCACATTGCTGTTGGAGCGCCATGGCAAAATGGCATTGCTGAGCGATCAGGTGGAACACTCAAAGCTGTACTTGGTTCCATCACCACAACGCACTTCATTTCAACTTCACTGGAAATGGATACAGCGGTGTCTGAAGCTGTGAGTGCCTACAACTATGACATTCATGAGAATGGCATGGCGCCGATCCAATGTGTGACTGGCCGAGTTCCCCCGGCCTATGGAGATGTGCTCAACAACTTCTCTCAGAGGCTTGCTGAACATTCACTGATTGCTGCTGAGCCGTCTTTGGCAAAGCAGGTTGCTCTGAGAGAGACTGCAAGACTGGCAATGATCAGGTTGCATTACAGCAGAAGCTTGCGAACTGCTGAGTTAGCCCGTTCCAGGCCAAGCACCCAAGATCAGACACCAGTCCCAGGAGACTTAGTGTTCTTTTGGCGAGCTCAGAAGTATGTTGGCAAGAATCGGAACTCTAGTTCAAGACGCAAGTTGGCCTTGAGACGCTGGCACGGCCCTGGGTTGCTTGTGGCATTGGAAGGTGATGTAGCTGCAAATTGTTTCATATCATACAGAGGGCAGTTGACAAAATGTCCTTTGGAGCATGTTAGGCCTGCATCATCTTTGGAAAGCATTGCAGCTGGTTCCTGGCAAGCGGCAATTGATGAGGTCATTCAAGCTGCCCGGAATGAAGGCCAAGGTCAAGATGAACCTGCCGATGATGAAGCTGGTTTGCCAAGCCCTGAAGAAACTTTTCAACAAGATGCTCAGATCGAACCAGGGACACCAGTTCCATCGGGCTTGTCACCTCAAGAGATTGTGGCAGCCTCGCAGCCAGCGATTTCTGAGCCACCTGCATCGGCCGTTGCGTCTAGACGCTCTTCCTTGATATCAGTGCCTGAGTCTGATGCATCGCGTGCGTCTAGCGCCGCTCCTGGCACTCCAGTGCCAAATTTGGTATTGTCTGCATCTCAGATTCCGATGACACCGGTTCCTATGACACCGCCTTTGGAAAAGCCCACATCATTGCAAAGAACCATCCAGCGAGCTCGAAGCTTGGATGACCTGCAGCGTGGCGTGAAGAGACCGCCGGAAGATGAGGGCGATCGTGAACCGAAGCCTTCACAAAGTACGGCGTCGTCTGCTCTGCCGGCTTTTGAGGCCTTGGCATTGGCATTGAGCAATGTTGAGCTGGACAACCTTGCAGCTCAACATAGCCATATGCATCCTTTGATGCAGCTGCAGATAGATGTGGCGAAGGACCGTCGTGACCCTATGTCATGTGTTGAAGCAGATCATGGCACATGGGACGGTCGTTGGGCGATGCTTTGTGAACGTGACTGGCAGCTTATGCAATCCCTGGGTGAACGTTTTCCCAATGGTGAAGCTGCTGATCTGTTTGATGCAACTGAGGTAAACCAGGTGCAAACAGCCAGACGTGAGTATCAATGGAGCAAGATGACTCCAGAGGACAAGAAGCTTTGGGGCGAAGCAGCTGTAAAAGGCTGGATGGCATACATCGACAACGAGGCCATTGAGGTCCTGTCCATGGAAGAGAGCCGCCGAGTCAGAGCTGAGTTGGCCCGCAAATCTGAGTTGGATCGCATTCTGGTGCCGAGGTTTGTGTGTACCGACAAAAATGATGGTTTGAGATCAAGCTCCTCCAACCTTCCGGTGCGTCACTCAGCACGGATGGTCGTACCAGGCTTTAAAGATCGCGCGAACTTGGAAGGGTCTCTCCGCCGAGATGCGCCGATTGGCAGTCGTACTGCGCAACACCTTTTGTTGATCATAGCCTATAGCTGCATGGAACCATACATGGTCTTTGATCTCGGCAGACGTCAAGGCTGCCTTTCTGAAAGGAGACAGGTATGTGTCTCGCCAACTCTGGATTACGAAAACCAATGAGGTAGCAAGTCCACCAGTGCCAGTGCGACCAGGACAACTAGCCAAAGTTGTCAAGGGCATCTTCGGTTTGGCAGATGCACCGCGCCAGTGGTGGTTGTGGCTATCAAAGTCCATGAGTGAGCACGGATGGGAGAAGAGTTGCATTGATGGAGCACTTTGGTTTCTGTGGTCCGTGGCAGCTGATGGTTCTCGAACATTGGAGGGTGCAATCGTTTCTCACGTGGATGATTTGTTGTTCACTGGCAGCCACAAGGCAGAACAGTCACTCATGTCCATTGGTGCTGAGTTGGGTTTCGGATCAGTTGACCGTGATGATTTCGTTTGGTGCGGTAAGAGAATCCGACGCCATTCAGATGGTACTATCCGCATTTCTATGGTGGTTTATCATGAGAACGCTTCAGAGATCATCATTGAAAAGCACCGCAAATCTGACCCCACTGCAGCACTGAATCCTGTGAAGCTCGCAAGCTACGAGCTGTGATTGGCAGTTTGCAATGGTTGGTTGCACAATGCAGATTTGACATGGGTTTTCATGTCAATGTGATTCAAGGTGAGTCCCCACCTAGCATCGGCACTCTGATCCGTGCAAATGCTTTGGTGCGTGAGTTCAAAAGGCATGGAAACTTTGAGTTTGTTTTCAGACCGGTTGATTTTCGCAAAGCTGGCATTGTAGTGCTTTCAGATGCAGCCCTTGGAAACGTCGCTGTATGCGGTAGCAATCAAGGAGATGTTGTGGAAAAGACATATAAACAGGCCTGCTACTTTGTGCTTGTGGCAGAGCAATCATTGCTTCAAGGTGAGCAAGGACTTTTCAACATACTGGATGCGAGGTCACGCAGAATCCCTCGTGTTTGTCGCTTTACCTATGCAGCAGAAACGCTATCTGCTGAAGAAACTCTGGATTGTGGGCAGCTGGCCCGTGGTTTATTGGCATTGGCGCAAGGTCGACAGTTGACCGAACGACGCGCTGATTTGCTGATCCACAGCGTTCCTCTGACTGCGGTTGTGGATGCCAAAGTTGTCTTCGACAAGTCAAATTCAGATACACCTGGATTTGGATCATTGAAGTCGCTGGCCTTCAGCATTGCTTGGATGAGGTCCGTATTGCGACTTCCGAATACTGCTTTGAGGTGGACATCCACAGAGAACATGTGGATTGATGGTGGGACGAAAGATATGGATTTGTCTCACATGCGCAGCATCATGTCTCTGGGTAGGTGGTCAATTTCCTACTCCCCGGAGTTTGTCAAGCAGGTTGCCAAAGCCAAGAAACTCAAACCTTTAGGTGTTGCTTCAGCATGCGCTGATTCACCTGGAGTGAGAGTGGATGATGGAGATCCTTTGCTTGGACATTTGATGAAGATTGGTGATAGAAAAGGTTGGCATTTGATTAGTGGGATAGGCATCCAAGTTGCTTTCAATGCCCGCCCGTTCCGAACACCAGATCCCAGATTTTCCGCTGCCAAGATGCCGCTTCGAAGTAGCTATGCAAGATTCAATCTGGACGACGCCCAGTGTGAATGGCGCCGTTTGGAAACGGCCGTGAAGTACAGTGAGCTGCCAAATCAGCATGCGTTGATCGGGCAAACAGTTCCAATTTGAATTAGCATGTTTCATTCTGTGGCAGGTCCTCAGTCATCCATGCAACGTCAAGAAGAAACTACAATGGATGTGAAAGCTGTTGTTGACCATGGATGATCTCATGTGACCTGCCGGCCGTCTTTTGCCTGGGCTCGAACCGCCCATCGAATTTCCCCAGATCTTAAGCCATGCTACGCATTGTCTAGCAAAAAGGCCGATCACTTCGTTGCCCGCTTCGCCGTGAGTTGGATTCGTTGTGCAAAGCCGATTGTGATTCTACAAATATGAATTACGATCAAAGCTGGCACCCCCGTCGGACAACTGGTGGTGAAAATGGTCGGTTAACCCTCCTGCGTTTCATAGGAATATGGATCCAGCAATGTACACAACAGGCAACAACCTGCCGCAAAATTTTCAAGTTTACCACGACCGACCCGTAGGTCACTTGCGCAAGCATGCCTGCAAACCCTGGCGCAACTGAGGAAAAGGCATTTCCACCGTGGAGAGCGGTTGGAGGACACGTAGCGCTTCCAGCCCTGGCAAAGGCCTCAAGGCCAATGTCTGAAAACAAAATCATGGCCGGTGGATCTCCATACTATGATTCGTCCGGTCCCAAATTTCATTTACAGCGCCATTCCATTGTTCAAAAGCGTCTTTTGGGTGACCATCCAAAACCAAATGCCCCCCACACACACACACACACCGCAAGGAAGAACCGTACATACACCAAGCATCTGGTCCGAGGGTGCCACGACCAAGGAAACATCCCAGAACTCAACACATTCCCATTCCAAATAAATGTGACTGGTTGGCCTTGCCGCAACCCCAGGAGTCGTCGAACACAATTCTGGAATAACGCGCTATGTGGTCCCAAGTCATTTTGTCCATCGTTCTTGCCAACGTATTTCAGTAAGGAATGGAAAAAATGCATTGCCCCGCGTGTTTTTGCTGCATGCCGCTGTCAAAAAGTGCGTTTCTCTGTTAATTTCTATGTTGTTTAGCCTTGAGCCTCGCGTTTTTCGGCGCGACATCTCTGAAGTCGGGAATGGCGCGAGTATACGTCAATCCTTCCGCATTCTGGTGCGCAAGCAGCAAGCACAAATGTCCGATGAAAAAATTGCGTTCCAATATCTACCGCTTCTATTGCGTTGGCGTGCTGAAACATATTTGTGATGTCAACTGACATGGGAATGTAGCAAAGCAGCCCACTAGCTATCAAAATGCAACCATTGCATTCACAGAGACCAAGTATTTCGTCATTGCGGTATGGCGACCATAGTTTGCATCTGTCATCTAATAGCCATGGTCATTACGTCACCTATCTTTTTCACCTCTTCCCCAAAACAATTGTTACGGCCACCCTTGTTGCAAGGAAAACGGCCACATGGAATAGACATGAAGGCTGTGGTCAACACCTTAGAAATGATGAACGAATACAACAATTGTGCTGGAAACGTTAAAACACGAAAAAACATTGAAAATTACAATGACTACGAGGATGAGCACGGTCACGAAGTTCACCACTTCCACCACAAGAAACGGGGTATGAAACAAAAATGCGAACAAAATCAAACCCAACCATCACGGGCATGCAGCACACGTTACGTTATCATTGAAACCATATTTTTGGCGAAGGAAATTTAGAACTCAAATTTCCGAAAAAATGGAGACATGACAAAGCAGACCAGGGAAGAGTCAGAGAAGAGAAGAAGTGAGAAAATCAAAAAGAAAAAGGCTAAGAAGAAAGAAACTGCAGGCGCGCCAAAGGGTAGGAAAGTCACGAATCACTATGTTTTTAGCATGGTTTGCGGCTCCGGGCGGGGTCAAAAAGTAAGTTGGCTAAAGCGGCGGGTGCGGAGCCATCTGGCAAAATGAGAGATAAAAAATTGCACACTGTCGCGCCGCGAATCGGAGTTTGAGGTGAAAATGCACGAAACACGTCAGTTTCTCAGCATTTTTCAAAATTAAGATGTCGAAAAAGTACACGCCATTGATTGTGGCGCGAAGCACATGTCAAAGTCAGGGTCAAAATGCACTAAACACCGGAACCAAGGGACGCAACCTCAGGAGACCAAGCACCAGCTGCAGGCAAAACAAAAATACAGAAAGGGCGACTACGGGAAGCAGAGGGGAGACAAAGGGACACAAGTTTGGCAAACCAAGCGGCAGCGACAAATTGGAGCAGTCAGCCAAAATGCAGACACCGGCTGTTTGACGTGGGAACCGTGATAGCCAAAGATATCTCGGGGTGGGCCGGCGCTGCTTGAGGAAAAGGAAATTGCGCCAGGCTGGTTAAGGGAGAGGAACCTCCAGGCATAGGGCAGCAGGTCAGCATGATTCGAGCCCGAAATTGAAGCAAAACAAAATTTTAATACATGTTTGACGTACTGAATTCAAGACCCTGAACTCACCACCTAAACGCCACAACTGCAATGACCACCCAAATTTGCCCATCAACTCGAATCCCGGAAAATTAGCCAAATGCCACGACTTTTGCACCTTGAGGAATACGTTTTTTTGTCTCGTAAACGGTAGTGATCTTGGAGACCGCACCTGTGGTGACGACCACAAATAAACGTGGCAACGGAAGTGCCTACGACCCAACGCATGTGCAAGCGTACAAGTGGACGGACGTGTGATGCACGAGTGGACGGACGTGTGTGTACGAGTCGACGAACGTGTGAGCGCACGTACCTGCGTTGACACGTTCATTCGTCACGTGCGCGCGCACGTACAAAAACTGGGTCGGTCCGAGCCAAGTTTCTTTCATGGCGTCTGGAGTTTCCTCATGCTGAACATTCAAAAAAAAACCAAGAAGTACAGAAATAAGGTTGACTTGAGTCAACATTATTTTCGTCCGTGTCCCCGCACGTGTCGCCGCACATACGCTCACATGTCCGTCCACTCGTACGCACACGTCCATCCCACACTTCCGTCCACTTGCACGCTTACACGTAGGCTGGGTACGCAGGTCCCTCACCGCATTCATTTGGACTCGTACCCCCCATGCTCACTATTGCCCAGAAGTTTTTTAAACATTCCTTTTACGAGACTTTCAAAAACCTGCCATACAGTGGTCAAACCCATCAAAATGCGTATGATAGGTGAGCATATTGGATGCATCCCATGAACAACGTGTGGCTTTGCGAATTGCCAAAACAATTTTTTTTGCCGGCACGCCTGTTTCCGCCTGACATGGAGGTGAGCCATGTTTAATACTTGCCCTTCACCTGTGCGCAATCCAAGCAGTGGGAGGACTAGGATAAACACATAGGTGCTGCCCATGCGAGCGTATCCCCAAAGGCATACCATAATTCGGCACAAAATCTTGCAATCAGCACGAGCACGAGTAACTATTTTTGGAGGTGGATTTATTGCTTCTCGTTGTGGTGCGGCGTTCATTCGGATATCGCTCTTGTTCTACCGCCGTCCTTGTTGTGATGTCGTTTTAACAAGCACTTCATCTCTTGGTGCGCCTTGGATAATTTTCTTTGTGGCGCCCTGTTCGCTCCTTCGTCCTGCCAAACATGGAGGAAAAAAACGAATATTATTAAAGTCATTTTGGTTGCGATCACAACACATCTCTTCATCGCCCTTGCGAATTTGATATCGCGGTGGCACAGAATTTCTGGCCGATGTTTAGGCCGTGGTGTTGTATACTAATTGTGACAAGTGCCTGCAAGATAATTGTTTCTGACGACATCCTTGCACGACGGTGGGAAATGGTCTCCCGGTTTTTCGAGGAAAGCCGTGACACGCGACGGATCCGAAGTCCCACATCATACGAGCCCTAGCGTGATCCTACGCCATTTGCTGAAACCTTCCGTCGGGGCGGAAACCGCGCCAGCGGTTGTGAGCGCTTTGGGAGGAGGAAAAAAAAAAACCTTGTCGCCATCAGCAAACGACTGATTCATTCTCCAAAATCGGGTCGAAATTTGCGGGAAGTTGAAAAGTGTTTTTTTTTGATGCCGACCTGTAATTTCCAATTTTTTTTGTTGAAAAGGTGCACGGTGTTGTTTTCCCTCTCACATCGCCAAGCAGGTCTTCAAGGAGTGACCAGTGACCTCCAAAACGTTTTTCGTTTTGGGGTTCGTCCTCCGAAAATCTTGTAACTGGGCCGCATAATGTTTACGGCAACAACGACAACAGTTTCTCTCCTACATTTTCCCACGAGAAAGCATTTTGTCCACACCGATGCGCAACGGCTCAGCTTTGACCTCCCCTTTTTCTTGTGTTTTTACAAGATTGACAGTTTCCCTCCATTCTTGGAAGCTCAAGCCAGTGACATGACGTAGCACGCCCATGTGACGTGACGTAGCACATGCATGTGACGCAAATTAACATGAACGTGACGTAGCCCGTGCATGCGACGCGAATTAACATGAACGTTAATATCCAGCTGCATGGCGCACCGCTTACGCCAGAAATGAACCAGTTTCCGCTATGTGGAATCACTATTGGCACACTGATAATCAAACTAGACTAATTCTGAAGCAAACAACTCGAGGATATCTATTCACCATGCGTTTAATACACACTTGTTAAGCAAAAGCTGACAACAATATGCCTGTTTCAACACTCAAAACTATCATCCCCTGCATGGCACACCAATTTTCATGCCATTTCCAAAACACAAACTTGGATGTGACCGACATTACATTCATATGGTGGGTATGATGAATTCTACTTCGTGCCAGTCAACGCTTTCATCCACTCCCCCATGTCACACAGCTGATCGGATCGACTTTTATTTTCTGGCATGTTCTTATGTTTTTGTTTTCTTCCGCACAGTTTCCGGCCCTTTCACAATGCCCGGAATTCACGCCTTGCCCAGAAGCAGCGGCACAAGCAACAGCAGCAGGGGTGCCAATTCACAAGTGTGGCGGAAAAACTGGCTGCAGATGGCGCCACCCTCAAAAGTCTCCACCCAGCTAATACGTCAATGAAACTGATTCAAAACGGAAAAAAAAGGTGACAATAGTATAAAAATTGATAGGGAATTGTGAGATTGTTGCCGTGCA